CAGAAAGTGCATCGGCAGGGCAGTGTTTTTTTTTTTCTTTTTTTGTTTTCTCGAAATTTTTGTTTGCCTTTTCCGAGGACGTCAAATAACGCCAACGACGGTTTGTGTTTGTCTCCAGTCATTGCAGATGACTTCAACATTTTTTTGGCATGCGGTTGGCTGTCACAAAGAGCCTGGACTCGATCGATCTGGCTACACAAATAGCCAAGTCGACAACACGTCGTCTGTGGGGGGTCCATTAATTGTTTTGAAGTATACGTCCTGGCTTTGCCGTTGTTGCGCGTCGACGGAGTGCATTCCTCTTGTGTCTCGACCGTCTCGACATACACGACGGCGTCGCCGCTGCTCTGCGCGGACTGCGACTTCTTTTATCTTTTTTTTTTTTCCCCGCCCCGATGCCGCCTTTGTTTTTCGTTCCCTTTGAAGAACAATCCTTGTTACGAGCGGTTGCCTCCGGAATTCGGCAATCCCTCACGGAAGCGTCATGCTGACGTCAGCGCCCAAAGGATATTGCGAGGGAAAGAAAGAACTTTCGACTCGTCGAGAAAGAAGAGAGTCCGCCGACTTTCTTTGACCCGTAGCAAAGAATTGTGCGTTGACAGGAGCCTTTACCTTGGCCTTGTCAGCGGGCTGTCGTCAAGTTGTAACTGCTTCTTCAAGCGGTTAAAAGCATCGCAGGGTCTCCTTCGAGTTACCTATGAGTGTTTTACTGAATTAATGAGGCGGCGATGGGTGAAGCCCTGTCAGCCGTATATGATACCGGGGTTAGCATTTCAATCGCTCGTTCGCTTTATAGACTCTCCGCGCGTACGATATTGTCACGAATAAAAATGCACACGAGCTTAAAACTGGAAATAAACGTTTAATGAAGCAAACTGGTGCCTTCAAACTAAAAATAGAAGAGGTGAGAACCGTATACGGCGTCCTACGGGGGCGAGGGAAGGGCGACTGATTGGAAGCAGCGCATCTCCCCAGCTTTTTTTTTTATACGCGATATTTTCCGGAATGTACGCTAAAGCGGTTTCTGAGATCGTCTATCACTAAAAAAACAAAAAAAAAACAACAACAACAACAACAACAAGAAGATTGATGCACGTTTGATTTTTTTTTTTTTTTTTTTATAAAAGCGGGATCAAAAGTGGCGCCACTCTCGTTTTTTCCGCGATTCGGCACAGAAACCAGAGGGCGCCGTCGGACGCGTGACTGAAGGAAGGGAGGTGGAATTGAGCATTTATTAAGAAGAATATGAACTTTCAAAGGGATCAGAAAGGAGTGCGCCGAACATTTGTGGCTGAAAGGAAAAGTCGCTGGGGAATCAACAGTCCTTGGAGTTGTTTACTTATGGACAGGGACGGTTGCTAAAGAGGAAAACAGAAAAAATGATTGATTGCATATCAAGAGACATTAGTGAACTAGGGGAAGGCTCCGAAATATTTATTATGGGAGACATGAATGCCCGTATTCAGGGTCTGGATGGGTATACGGACTCAACTGGAAGCATATTACTAGAACTGGTGGAAAAACATGACTTAGTTTTATGTAATACCAGTCAGAAGTGTGACGGGCACATAACTTGGGAAACTGGCAATTTACATTCAACTATATATTACGTACTCATGTCACACAAAATATATGGTAAGTTACAAGTAATGAAAATAGATGAAGAAGGTTCCAAAAGTCTTGGTAGTGATCACAAACGTATTAAGCTGAATTTTGCCAGAGAAGTAAATGCTGAAACTAGACAACATAATTCAAAGCAAACTTTCTGCAGCGACAAAGAGTTGGAAATAGTTGTTGAAAGAATATAGGCAGCAGTTTATTCATTTATTTATTTATTCATGGTACCTCAAAGGCCCAATTAAGGGCATTAGATGAGGGGGGGGGGGGGTACATTCAGGGCAACGGTATACAGATTGGACCTATGAGGGCCTTACTAGGCTTTTTGCTCTAGAATTAGACAAAGTTAAGAGTAAACGAAAGGGGAAGCAAGGACATAGACCAAAAAGTTGGTGGGACAAAGAAGTGAAGCAAGCGATACAAAAACGTCAGGAAGCCTCTAGAGAACACAGGTATTCCAAGCGTAGTGGGGAGTCCGAAACGGAAGTAAAAAGAAAATGGGACAATTTTTTAACATGTCGCCGAGAGGCATCCAGTTTGATCAATGCGAAAATTCAGAGAAAGGGTGAGGAATGGATGAGTAATGTAAGTAAGAAAGATAGAAACGCTGCCAAGAAGTTTTGGGAGCACTTGAACTCACTCGGTGAAACGACGCAAGCTAGACAGAGGTTCATACTCTCGCATCAGAGAGATCAATTAGAGGGAGATGATGCGATACAATATATAGGAGCAGTGATGGAGGAGAAATTTTGGGAACGGGTACATGTGGAAGATAGGAGAACCGAAGAAAGTAGCAGTCCATTTTGTGACATCGCGGATTTTGGACAAAGAGAATGGGAAAAGGCGGAACGAAGAGTCCCTAGTGGCACGTCGACAGGCACAGATGGTATCCCTATCAAGCTGGTGAAGAATTTGGGTCCTAAATCTAAGGCAAAACTAAGGGAGGTAGTGAGCACCATGATAACAGAAGGAAATATTCCAGATGAATGGAGGCTTAGTAGGATGAGTATGATATATAAGGGAAAGGGAGATAAGTCTGATATTAGAAATTTTCGTCCCATAACCGTGACACCGGTTATTTACAGGTTGGTAATGCAGATTATAAAGAACAGACTGGAGGAATGGGTAGATTGCGAGGGCATACTGGGCGAGTTACGGAACGGGTTTCGGAAACAAAGAAGGTTGGAGGACAATTTATTTTCTCTAACACAGTGTATAGAAATAGCGCAAAAAGAAAACAGACAGCTCTGGCTGGCATTTCTGGATATCAAGGCTGCCTATGACAATGTGAACCAAAGGAACCTGTGGGACATAATGGAGAGCTTAAACCTAGATGAAGGACTAACAGCACTATTAAGGAACATTTACAAAGATAACAAGGTGATTGTAACATGGGAAGGAAAGGCGACAGGGAAAATAGAGATAAGACGAGGCCTTAGGCAGGGGTGCCCGTTATCGCCTTTGCTGTTTATGTTGTATCTGAGAGGATTGGAGGATAGACCAGAGAAGAGTGGGCTTGGATTCGACCTTTCTTACAGTAAGCTAGGCCAAAACATTCAGCAATCCTTACCGGGATTGATGTATGCGGATGATATCGTACTAATGGCTAACAGGACAGAGTTGCAGGAATTAATGAGCATCTGTGATAGGGAAGGAGAGGAATTAGGTTTAGAATTCAGTAGCGAAAAATCAGCAGTCATGATTTTTAACGAGGATGAAGTTGAGAGGCTGAAGATACAGAATATTACAGTTGAGAGAGCTAGTAAATACAAGTTTCTAGGAGTATGGATATGTGATGGTGCAGAATATCTCAGAGAGCATGAAAAGTATATAATAGGTAAGGGCAGCAGAAATGCAGCTGTAATAAAAAATAGATCACTTTGGAATTACAACAGGTATGAGGTGGTGAGAGAGATTTGGAAAGGGGTCATGGTGCCCTGGCTTGGACTTTTGGAAACGCAGTGCTATGCATGAAATCCGAAGTGCATGCGAGACTAGAAATAAAACAGCGCGGAGTAGATAGACTGGCTTTGGGGGCACACTGCAAAACGCCAAACCAGGGAGTTCAAGGAGACATGGGATGGGCGTCATTTGAGAGCAAGGAAGCGGTGAGCAAGATAGAATTTGAGGATAGGTTGAGGAAAATGGATGAGAAGCAATGGGCACGAAAGGTTTTCAGCTATTTATACATGAGGAGTGTAGACACAAAGTGGAGACAGCGCACTAGGAAATTAAGAGGAAAGCTTTTGGGCTATAGCGAAGATACGGAAGAGCAAGTCTCAGTTAAGAAGAAAGTTAAGGCCACAGAAAGAGATTGGTGGCTAGAGGGAATGCAGACAAAGACGGATCTGGGAAGCTGTAGATTAAACAAAACAGTTATTGCCAAAGAAAGCATTTATGACAATTCTAGGGGAAGCTCATTGTTGTTTGAGGCGAGGACGGGTGTTCTGCGAACCAGAACATACAGAGTGAAGTACCAGGAAATGGATACAGTGTGCACTGCTTGTGGGGAGGAGGACGAGACGGCTGAGCACTTGATACTCTACTGTAAAGGGCCTCACCCTATGCCTACCGAAGACAACATAGATTTAATAAAGTCATTGGGTTTTAGAGACAGCGAAGGGAGAGTGGATTTCAAGACTGTAGAGATTACCAAGCAAAGATTAAGTGAATGGTGGCAGAAATCGAGAGAAAACTAGGTATTTTCTTATTCACTGATTGCAAGGGGCTTTCATAGCCTCACTTTCTTTGCACTGCGGAGTGAATATAGGAACTGATTAACTTTGACATGGGAACTGATTAACTTTGACTGTGCGAAAGCGACGGTTGGCGAACTTTGGACACACGTGCTAACCACTTCTCTTTCGTTGTTGTCTTTTTTTTTTTCGTTTTTCTTTTATTGACGTGTTTTATACCCCTGTCAGACGGGCACGTTAAATGACATTTAGGCAAAACGACATTACAGCTCGGCCAATCCGCGCGCTTAATACGCCACGCTGCGCGCGCAGAACCAGCATCACGAGCTGATTCGCCAAACTGTGAATGACATTCGATCAAAACGACATTTACTTTACCGTTTAACGGGGGTTTTACAAGACACTCGATAGAAAGAGATTGCGCCGCAAATGTACATAACATACATACGCGCTTTGGACGCCCTCCGAAGCTCCTTCGGCCGGCTTTGGAGACCTGTGGGCGCACACGGTCTGCTGTTCCGTTCTTCGACGCAATGCGTGTGTGTCAGCCCAAATGATGTAGGGTAGGACACCTTTTTTTTTTCTTTAATAACAACACGATTGGGGCGTTTTAGTGTTATATTCGTTTGGTTCTGCGTCTTATGGCAGTGAGTGTTAAAGGTTCCGCATGTGTTTGTGAATGTGCAGGGCCCGTCGCATGTGTGTCCCGGGGTGCGATGGCGCACGTGCTGCTGCCCTGCGACGTGCCCACGTGGCCCGAGGTGCAGCGCCACCTGGGCCAGCTCAAGTTCGCCCACTCGCCCGAGCAGCTGGTGGCCGACATGCAGCGCATCTACGACCTCTGCTGGTTGGTCTTCTTAAAGTCACGCCTCAAAAGACACGTTGTCTGCAGGCTGCAGATACGATCGCAGAGTTATCTGCGCCTCAAGCGTGTTCGAAGCGCTTCCTGAACACTTCGGGCTTTGACAGTTTTTGTGTGACAAACCGTCATACAAGGGCGAAACACGCCTCAGAAAAGTGTCGGGTAAAGTAGATCTAAAAAAGTACTTGAAGTAAAGTACAAAGTAAAGGAGAGGCTATGTACTTCAAGTAAAGTAGGCGCAATGTACTTGAAGTACTATTAATTCAACGCATTTTCAAAGTAAAGTACAAGTACTTGTTAACACAATATTCCATGATGCCCTTATATTATATACAGGGTGTCTTTTTTAAGCTTTACAGATTTGTTTAAAAAAATCCGTGACAGTTGAACTTATGTAGTTTGTGCAGGTGAGTAGGTCAGGGGGACATTATGGGGGTGGATAATGTTTGCGATAAGTCGACTAATAATTACAATTCGTTAATTATCTTTTTGATTAGTGAATATAGAGATGTGGTTCCAATTAGAAACTTAGAGAGCGTAATCGAAAACCACTAAATCAGTTCTTTTTAGAACGACTTGAAGCTCGTGGGAAACTCGGGGGCGCACCAAAGTTACCACTCGTGAAGCAGGCGCTAAGCTGGCAGTGGCGGAACGAGATGATAATCTAATCATCCGCGTTTTGCCACTGCCATTGTGCAAAGGGCAGTCTGCGTAGAGTTCCGAATGCGAGTCACCGCGATATCCGTGCTTCGAATGCTGCATGACAATGAGCTCAAGGAGAAACTTGGCACGCGGCATTCGAACCACGGATATTGCGCTGACTCGTGTTTGCAGACTGTCTTTGGTATGATGTAGGCTCGAATCCCATCCTTGTCGCCACTGTAGCGTTCGTTGAACCGGGACGCAGGAAACGCACTTCACATGGTTCTCAGTGCAAAGGGGTTCATCCTTGGAAAGCATGCTTTATATATAATGGTCACGATGTATCGGCACAACCGATACGATGATGATGATGATGCGTATATTCAAAGTGGCACCTACCCGGTATCACAATGAGCAGCGTGACCCCGGTTTAAATGTCGTGGAGCCCACAATGTTCGCTAATTCTAAAATTCCGAAGCTTGCATACGAATATTTTTGTTTTACTGTCTGGAGAAGCGAGACAATTCAAATAATTTAATTGCAACGAATATGACCCCCTCTGTCTAATTCGCAAGAAAAAAACAAAAAAACGCACGAATAGTTTTTTTTTATGGTATTTGAGTTAAGGGTCGACTAGAATGGGCCCGCATCGTATTATATACCTTGGAGGCGTGCGACTGTTCCCGATCCGGGCGTGGCTGGTCCCTGACCCTCCGCGCGGGTCCGTGTGGCCCTGAAGCGTAGGCCTGGATCCGGAGGAGCTTCCCCGGGAGGAGATCCGGCTGGACCTGCTCAAGAAGTTCCTCAAGTCCCTGCGGCCGGAGGAGAGCAGGCGCTTCTTCGAGGCCACCCTGCCCGCTCTCATCTCGGCCGCGCTCAAGCTCAAGCAGCTCAGGCCACACGCGGGATTCCTCTACTGCCTGCAGCAGCAAGGTGCGTGGCCTGACTGCTTTCCTTGGGGACATCGGAGAAACGTTGCCATGTTTCCCAATGAATCTTTCTGCAGCCAGCCATCTTCTGCGCATGCGTACACCCTCTTCCCTGTCGCCATTTTCAGAAAGCACCGTCCCGCGCGACCAACGTGGTCAGAGCAGCATCCTACCTTTGCGCGCCTTTCGTCCTTGTTGACGGTTCTTTTTTGAAAATCAGTGGCATGGAGGCAGACGAAGCAATGGAAACCGATACAACGGCGTGACGCCAATGTGTTCTGAAAGGGCGAAGGCATGTTGGGCTTAGATATGTAAACGTTACCCCAAAAAAGTGCCTAAATACCGCTTGGTCGTTACTCGCTCAAAAAGCGTTACTCGTTACTGATTCTCTAATGGAACGTGTTACTTTACCTCAAAAGTAGCGAGTTAGTTTCGTCGTTACTTTGACGACCTAATACATAACTGGTTTTGTCTCGTGGTTCATTGTTTTCATCTCCGGCGACGCTGAAGAGTCGTTCTACTGACGCGCTCGAAGAAACGGCAGTGTTGTGCTTGAGAAAGGGCTAGTGAATCTAGGATTTCCTTTTCTCATTTTGTTTTTCTAACTGCTTATAAAGTTTTAAGTTGACAGTGGGTTATGTGCATTCCAGCATTGGCAACCTCCGGGTTTAGATTCGGTCTGTACACGATTTTAGAAGGTTCGACCGACGAACTTTATTGTGTTCCCTGTGTGAATGACGTTCCCAGCTGTAGAGTTCGACTGACTTGTTCAGCGATAAACGTTGCTATACCGTCCTACTGTTTTTTTCTTTTTGGTGGGGGGGGGGGGGGGGGGGGGGTTATTATTTGCATTTGTCGTAGTAAGACGCGTACTCTGGTTAGAATCAAAAGTAACGAACGACCGTTACTCGTTACTTGGCTTTAAAAGTAACTAAGTACGCTACTTGTTCCTTTTCTAAACAAAAGTAACTAAATACACCGGAAAAAGTAACTAGGTAGAAGTAACTCATTACGTACATGTCTGGTTGGGCTTCCCTCTCATGGCCCTCCATTTGTAGTTCACATACAACCCCCCAGACGGCACTCGCGACTCGGAAACGGAGGGCTATGCATGAAATCCGTAGTGCATGCAAGACTGGAAATAAAACAGCGCGGAGTAGCTAGGCTGCCTTTGGGGGCACGTTGCTATAGACGCCAAACCAGGGAGTACATGGAGACATGGGATGGGCGTCATTTGAGAGCAGGGAAGCGGGGAGCAAGATAGAATTTGAGGATCGGTTGAGGCAAATAGATGGGGACCAGTGGGCACGAGAGGTTTTCAGCTATTTATACATGAGGAGTATACACACAAAGTGGAGACAGCGCACTAGGAAATTAAGAGGAAAGTTTTTAGGCTATCGTGGAGTTACGGAAGAGCAGGTCTCAGTTAAGAAGAAAGTTAAGGCCACAGAAAGAGATCGGTGGCAAGAGATTTGCCAAATGCAGTTTTGTGCATAAAACTTGAGGAGGAGGAGGGGGTTACGGAGGGGAGAGTGTGCCCCTCCTCCTCCTCCGTACCCTCTCCTCGTCTCCTACTCCTTCATCCCATCCTCTCCCCCCCCCTCTCCTACGATTCCGTTTCCCCGCTAATTTTAGCGGGGAAAATGACGTCCCATGACTTGGTGTCACGTCACCTGTAAACCAATTCAGTTTTTCCGCTAGGTTTAGCGAGAAAATTGACGTCACGTGACCTCAACACCGATTCGATTCCCCGCTAAATTTAGCAGGGAATTGAATTGGTGTTGAGGTCACGCGACGTCAATTTTCTCGCTAAATTGAACGCGGTTAAGCCGACGCCGACGCCGCTCAACCGGAAAGCAGGCGCCTAAAATCTACGCCCTAAAAAAAAAAAAAAAAAGAAATGGCTAGTTGGCGCAAGTCGCCGTCCGACTCAAAGGGTTCAGTCGCATCCATCCATCCGGTCCATTGCAGTGAGCTACGTAACACTGTAGCTATGTTACGGTGCTAGAAGGCGCTCTGCTGCCCACATATTATGCTGCGCTCTGTAATCTTTAACCGTGGACCGCCCTCGCCCGCGCGGTCGTCACACCCTCCCCCTCTCGTCCGCCACAGCTATTCTGGGAGACGAATATTGCATTCGGGTTGCTCTTCTTCCTTTTCTCTTACTTTCCGTCTGCCCGGCAGAGGTTTCATAATGTTTAAACGATTGTGTTACCACCATCTGCTTCACACAACGCACACGTGGACGCTGGCCACGAATGACGGATGAAAATGGCGCACCTAAGAAGAATACTAGAACGCAAAGATGCGATGCGCGAGGGACAGTAATTATATATACGGAACGTCACACTCATTGCCTTTGCATGCGCACAGCGAATTTGATAGGTCTAATTACATTCTGAGCTTCGTCATTGGCTGGGATATCCTGTTGTTTGCAGTGATTGGACCTGCATGTTCGATATAGGAAAGAAAATGCGGTCTTTATTAAAGTGTAATGAAGAGAAGCCTGCCCAAACTTTATTGCGACACTTTTGCTTTAGATCCGTTTGAGCGGCACGAGAGACGTTGGTGTTCCGAGTGCAGCGTGGCTCTCAGACATATTGAGGGCCCTTTCAATAGGCAGAGGTCAGTCAGTGCTCACCGCTTGCCCAACAACAGACTGGCTGGCTTCTTTCAGCTAGCCGGCCCCTTGTAAGATACTAAGTGGTTAGGGAGCTCGTTCCGAAGCTCCGTTGACAGGAAGGCGGCAGGAGCCTGCTTCTCGTCTCGCCGGGGTGCTGAAGGGGTCAGTGACCCGCTTGAAATAAACCCTTCCGAGGGGACCCTTCATTACTCGGTCCATCACTCTGGCTCCGTGCCCGGAGTTGCAACCATGTCTGCAACGACTCCACTTTGCTTAGCCTTAGCGGCAGAGTTGGGCGCCGCATTCCAGCCTTGTTTTTCCGACTTCCTCGGGGCCTGTTTGCAAACAGCACTCGCATGCATGTTCCGAGGCAGCCTTCTCGCTAACATTCTCCCGTTAATAGGGAGTTTTCGTAGACCGCGCTACCCCCTCCGCTAAGCGTTCCGCAACGAAGAAGTTGCTACTGCGCCTGCGCGCCGATAGCCTTGACTGTGGAGTTCCCGCTATCGTAGCGGATTGCGGAGGGCCTTGCGGGACGGCGAAAACGATCTACGAAAACTCCCTAATGGCCTGAAGGGGTTGACCGACGGTAGGTGACTGCTTGCGCCCTTGCACTGACCTCCGCGCGCGAGCTGCATAGGCGCTAGGATTGGTTTGCGTTTGTTTAAGCCTAAATAAGCATTTAGATACGCAAGTTTAATCTTGAGCCGAAATGACAAAAAAGGTAAGGTGGATGAATACATATAGGCATACTTTATTTTTAAATGCAATAGGTTTCTTAATATGACATTTCAAAATAATTGTTATTCAGAGAACTCACCAGGCATAAATAAAAGGCATATTAACTTTTGCTTAACACAGGATGGAAGAAGACTAATTCGAATAATAAATCTGATGATGGCAATATGCGAGAGTTATGCCACAGATCATAGTATTTGGTAGCTGGCAAACTCTTATAGTACCTTCGAGTGTCACGCCAGGCACGAAAAGTCATTTGAATCAGTAAGACTCTTGTCTGTGTTTTCTGCTCTAAAAACAAATATGGTCGCTGACAAAAACGAGAAGGGCAGGCAGGAGCTTCAGTTGTCCAGCCTCTAACGCGAGCTTGGTATGCGACGAGAAACTGAGGGAGAGGAGGAAACGAGAGCGCGTGGGGACGTCGGAGCTCCGTCTGGATGGATCAGTGGGTCAACGCAAAGCTAGCTGCACCTGTCTCTATATACTCAGATTTCGAACGCGTTCGAACGCCAAACGCCAGATGCCGGCGTTCGCAAATCGAACGCGTTCGAAGAGCCAGTAGAGACAAGGGCAGCTAGCGTCGCGTCAGTGACTATATCACAAGTACAGTTTCCTTTGAGATCATAAAACCGAACATCATATAGACATAAAACCCTTTTTTTTTGTGGATAAATTAAATAGGTAAGACATACGCATACTGGATCCGATACGTTCTTTATTGCTCTTCAACGGTGCAATGCAGTTAATAAGTAGAATTTAGCCTGAGAGGAATTCTAGCATCTTGGAATGGTGCAATTTCCAACTTGCTCAAACAGGGGTTTCATCTTCCATTCACTATCCTCGCAATAAAGGATTTTTATAGGGATTATTGGCGACTCTGAAGAAACTGTTGGGCTTGTTCTTGGACCGAAATTTAAATCTCAATGACATACGGATGTTCGGGCAAAGTTACGTTGGATAATGAGTTTTCGTATTTGGATGTGAATTGTCATGTAGAGCGTGTGTTCTCACGTATAAGCATATAAACATAAAGGAAAAACTTGCCTTGTTTTATAATTCGCTTCGGAGAATTGACAGCGGTCGCCATTGCTTGCAGAGGGCATGTTTGCCCTGGAACGTCCGTTTCTGGCTTCGCTCCTGGCCAACTGTTTCTTCTCCACGTTCCCCAAGCGAAATCCAAGGACCCACCCGACTCTTCAGGACTTCAACCTGTCAGAGCTCTTCCCTTTCCTCTCCATGTAAGCTCCCTACTGCACTCTTAGTGTGAGAGAAAAACAGGGAAAGCTTAGAATCATTGAGGAACAGTTAGGGAACGCGGTCACCTAAGAAATTACGAGGGCCAGGGATTTAAGACGCGTACCAGAAATGACTTGCTCAGAATGCATGCGAGACAGTCTTAATTTCTCATGATAATTACAGGGATCATCATAAGACCGGCGCAATTAACAATACTGGTGGCGATAAAGGTGTTCTTTGTGATACTCACTAATCGACTCTAATGTATCCTTAAAGATTATAATATTGGTTAAAGTTATTCGGACGTTGATGCAGCTTCTAAACTTGATTATACGAGTCCCCATTAAGTTTTGATGGATGACCTATTGAAGCTGTTGAGCTGAGCTAGTAAACGAATACAACGAAACGGAGTTTAGAAACAACGTGTTTTACATGTGGTTTCAAAGGGGTGATTGATATCCTTTTTGCTATCACTCGACAGGTCCTGCCAGTGTGAAAAACTGAGGAGGCTTTTCGCCTACTTCGACTGCACCTTTCGAGACGAACCGGACGGCGCCGTGTACTTCTGCAGGCAGGTTCGAGACGGCTGCCGACACCAGACGGCCCTGGTGTTGGGCAGCGTTCGTCTTAGCATGCAGCAGTTTTGTCTGTCAGATGGGGTCGTTCTGACACAAACAGCTCTCTTTATGAGACAATCTTCTGCTAGGTGGACTTTGGAGTATGAACGCTCATGGTCGCTTATTTAAGACAAGCACGCGTGGTTTTTTTATTCTTTGTGTGTGTTTTCTGTAGCAGAGGTTTTTATATATTGATCACCACAATGTTCCGAAAAATAGCCCATCCCCAAGGAAGTCAGATGTGAAAAAGGAGGCTGGGCTAACTTTCAGCACGCGCCCCAGAAACAAAAGCTGAGAGAGAGAAAAAATATTCTTAGTAACTCGTTCTCTTGTTCACTGATGTCATACATCAGCTGCTTTAGGTCACGCCACAAGTAGCATATTATTGGAAAGGCAAATTAAGAATTATTTATTCAATTGCCCTGTAAGTTGTCAAAGAACCAGTTTTTTTTTTTTTTTTTTAAGAAAGAGAAAGTAAACAGGTGTGCTGGTTAATGTCACTCATGTTTGAAAAAAAAAAAAAAAGGAGATGACGGACGAAGAAGGGGACAAACACAAAACGTTTCAAACGCAGCTAGTAAACTTTATTGGCACAACTCTCTATGTGCCATCTCTCACGCACACGTCTCCGGGAATTCGCACACGTTTTTGTGAGCTTCCACCACGTTACAACGCGTCAATCGTGACCTTAATTTAAAGAACATGCCTCATGCACCACGCAACACAAGACACACGTCTCCGGGAACTTGCACACTTATTTGTTACCTTCAACCGGAGAAGAGACCTCCTCTTGTACGAAACCATGGTACAGGTAACACTTTAAATCAAAGCAACCTCCCCAAAGTGCACCCTCATGTATCCGTTTACAGGTTCCACTTTGGCGGCTGATAAAGCTAACAACAAACCCATCACCAAAACTCATATCGTATTCCCCTGCAAAAAATTTTCCGAACCCAGGCAGTGCAATTTAAAAGGGCCGTGCAACGATTCAAAACTTGTCTCACTCTTCTCAAGCTTGTTGACACTTGTGGAACCCAAGTGTACTCGCACGCAATGCCACTGACCAGGAAACCTCTTTGTCACCGCGTATTTTCGAGTACAAAAGCGGAAGTTGTCTTTCAGCCTCACTTTCGTAAAACTTGATGACGAAGTTCTTAGCCGAACCTTAACAATGTGTGGAACTCAGCACGTTGTTTTGTGCTGTGCTAAAGCTTATTTTAATAAGCTTTCGGGGCATATAATAGGCTCCAGATCACGTGGCCGCTTGTTCTGGCTTCCAGTTGAGGAGAAGAACGCTGCTCGCTTTTTTTTAATTTTTGTTGTGAAACTACCATCGCGTAAAAAAAAAAAAAAAAAATAAAATAAAAACTAACAGGTGTCTCGTAGGTTATGAATGTCAGGCAATAATTCTAAGCGATATTTACTGAAAGCGCAAACATAAATTGTAGCGTCTCTTTTCTAAAGATGTGAGTACCGATGCAGTTTTCTGACAGGCTACCTCAAAGCATCCAAAGCTCTTGCACGCCAAGTGCCACACAGTGCGTGCTGAAATGGCTTTGATTGTTTTATGCATCTCTTCTATACGAAGTTGACCCGATATTTTTTTTTAACGTCTAACGGCTGGAACACATGAGCGATAAACTATGCGGACGGAACTCTGGACGCGCGAAAATTGCTCCATCGTGTTTTATAAATACACGTACGCGTGTTTATACGACAAAACCGCAAATATAATTTCGTTAAAACCACATTCGCGATTTCCTTAGCGCAACGGAAATACCCTAGCATAGTTTGGTTTTGAAAAAAAAAAAAAATGATGTGGAACTATTTGCTTAAATTTCAAAATTTGTGGGATTTCCGCTTTTTTTTTTTTTTTCGCACGTGCGTCCCCGTTTTAATAAGCATTGTGCTTTGCTGTTTCGTTTTGTTTCACAGTGTATATATATATTTTTTAGGTGACGCCGATCCGGAACCTAATGTCACTTCCCGAATGGATGTGCAGCGACTGCCCTCTGTGTCCTCTGATGGTCCGCACCAGGGGACTCGTGGAAGAGGCCGAGCCCATCTTGGTCAAGGTCGGCAGCTGGGGCTCTCGGAACTTTTTATTTCCAGCTTGCGCACAAACCGTTTTCCATTACATGCCCCAACGATCCACATATCCGTGAAGCGCGTAATATGTATGCTCTACGTATTGTTCTGTCTGGGAGTCCGAGGAATCAGGCAGGATGTTATTCCTCTCGTCGAAAGTTATGGCACTTGTTCGAAGACAAAAACACGACTTCGATGACACGGAAGATCAAGCTTACTTATTGCAAAGTTCCATTATCACTAGGGTTTCGTGTTTTCGGTGATAAACCCCGAGAATTAACCATCGAGTCGATAATTATCAAAATTGGGGGAAACAGAAAAAATAAATCCTCCCAAAAGTTTATCGGCTTTTGGGCGGATGCGGAGAAAAGCTCACCAAAAATTTTATATCGTCGGACCGACGACGTATTCAGGAAGTTTTGCGGGATGCTTGACGGGCTTGCATTTGTGCCTCCGGACTTCGTACCATCAGGACTTGGCTACATCCGAGATTACGCTCCCGATACATGACCGACCTACTCACGTATTTCGATGTGACTTACTTAAGCGGAACCTTTCACGCTGTTCCGACACCGGGACGAGCTGGGCAACAGACAACAACCGTGCGCCGCTGTCGCCCCGAATTCTCTACTCTGGAATGTGGTAGACGCTACTCTTCGAGGCGAGGACCGCACTCAAAACTCGTGCGAGGGATAGAACAATGCATTCGAGCAGCTCGCTGGACATTGCCATCCCAGTGTTTGGACTCGAATGCCTCCAGCAAGGCCGAGCAGCGCCCGCTACAACGTTGCTGCAAGTCAGTCGAGGACAGCCACCCGCCAAGAAGACAAGGAAAGAGACCAGCCGTCCTCAGAACCGACTAAACGAAACCACTGGAATGACGCAGCTTCTTGTACTTCTTCATGCAGTTGGTGACTGCATCCGCTTTTTGGCCGAAACGAAATGAACTCTGTGAAATCGAAGCTGCCAATAATATTTGAATGCGAAAGCGTTAACTTGAAACACCGATCCAAAGGGGAAAAAATACCGAAAACACGGAACCCCACTTATGAGTGGTTCGAATGCATATTATTTTTTTTTTTCGGATGATCGGTGCACACAAGGCCGCTATTTCTTCTGAGTTGCCGTTCTTTGTGACTTTTCTTCATGGGGGTTTAAGCTGCTGTTCTTTTACAGTCCTACCCTTGTCATCCAAGCATTGGTGGAGACGTGCTTAGAGGAAGCTACACAATGGTAGGCAGTGAATCATTTTCCACTCGGGAAGTCGTAGCCAGTGTAGGCGGGCAGTCTTTTATCTCGTGAAAAGGTTATATTTTTGTTGCAAAATAGTTTGCCGGCACATGATATAACTCTCATAACAAAAAGTTATTCTAGTGATTTTTGGACTTTCTGATTTAATGCAGTGATCTGTTCTGTTCCAGCACTGATCTGCTCTGAAGTGTTAAAGAATCTGGTTTTGCACTTTAGAATACACCGGAAAATACTTCTACTTTCAGTATACATAATTACAAATGAGTGCTTAAGTAAACTTTCAATATCAAGCTATGGACCGTGCTGGTAGGAATATGGATCCAATACTAAAAAACTGTACAACAAAAAAGAAAGGTGGGGAAAATACAGCAGGATTTAAAGTCCGAACCTTACACCACTTAGTTGTGCCAGTTCCGTTTTTTAAAAAATAATATTTAAATAAAATTTGTTACTAAAAAAAAAAACATTTTGTTTTTTGTAGTATATTTTTCTTCGACCTTTTCGTTTGTGTAAATACGCCACGTAATCTTTTTTTTTCTTTTGTGCAGGAGGGTTGTTTAGAGTATTTTGTAAATTCTTGACCCGCAGGAATGCTCAATGTTCCTGGATGCCCCCGAGCTTCTGGCTGCATTGATTTTTGTGGAGTGCCTGGAGGACAACGAGAGTTTGACTGTCGACGGGCTGCTTGCCTTCGACCCAAGACCTCAAGCAAGCGGGGAGCCAGTAATATCCAATCTCACCAATAACGACAACAAAAACACACACACGCTCACACACACACACAAACACAGACAGACAGACAAACAGACAAAGAGAGAGAGATAGACATCTGGGCGATTCACTTATTCATCTACATCCGACAGTGATACACGTTCTTGATGCAATTTTCTATTTCGACAATACTTACCATTGCGTTAATCAGACAGACTCTTTCATTTTAACGCAGTACATTTTTATACCAATGATGGTTATGTTTTTGTGAGTATATACATATAAATTTGGGAATGAAGGAAAGAAAACTTGGGGTATTATACGGAGTATAACTGCTTGTGGTTAATTGAATACGAAAATTAAATGCTTATGCGTGCTGTAAGTCTTCTTGACTGAAACTAAAAAAAGCTAGTTGATTTTTTTTTTTTTTTTTTAGCGGAGCGAGGTAGAAATATGTATGATCCGGGAGTATGTAAAAACAAATAATGATTTTGGAGGCTTCTAAATGAGGCTCCCACGGCAAATTATTTCCAATGGATCGTCACCGCTAAAAATGACTAGCATATCTACTAAAATACTTTTTGTAACTCTTAATTAAATTAGGCGTTGACCAATGATCGTGACAAAAAAATGTAGACCCTATACGAGGATCCAACGTTTCCCATTCCATCGAGCAAACCGAAATGCTTCCCCGCATTAGGCGCTTCTCCTATCACACTGGTGTAAAGCGGTGAAGCTTGACCAGTGCACTACACGCAATTCTTGATTATGACCTCCGAACTTTACCCGAACTGAAACTGGCTCAATAAGGGGAGCCGAACGAACCGAAGTCTATGCTCGGCAGAAGCGCACGTCGAAGAAAGAGAAGGAACTATCACAACAGGTCGTTCAAAAAGCCTCAGACCTTTTGAAGCCTAGTTTAAGGTCGGACCTGTGGCAGACAAAACGAAGAAAACGGCCGTGGCTGGCGGCTCAGTTTCTGGACGGAGTAAGGACGGCAAACGGAATAAACGGGAAAGGAATACACCTATTTTCTGTGAGAGTTTAACAGGACCGGCGTTCACGAACGTGATAGCCGGAAAAACGTATTAACTGATAATGTATCAACGGTGTTCTATATTAAAGAGCTAGAGTTAGCCGGCAATAGCACAGTCGGTCCCAAACAAAGTATACAGTAATTATAAACCAGTGGCAAGATTAAATAACACCGGAAATGCACATTGAAAGTTTCACATTTGAACTTTCATACTTTCTAGCAGCTTCCTTAATAATCGAGGCACTTTACACGGGGTGCAAGAACTACGTTCATTCCCGAAGCACACAACAAACATTTATGTTGCTCTCTTCTGAGAGTACATTTAATTTTGAAATATCTCAATGCGCTGCCAAAAGACTGCTGAAAATTGTATGTTTGCACATCTCTATCATCAATGCATTGCAGACTTCAATAAGCTGGTGATGAATTATGGCTGACGGTACTTCATTTTTTTGCTGGAGACCTGTATTTTTGTTTTACTGGCCACCATATGAAACTGCTGCAAGATGCCTGTCCTTGTGCATTAGATCCAAACCATGTTACAATGAATACTGCACTACACTAACTGAACACGTTAGCCACGCATAAGCTTGCAAACAAACCAAAATGTTTCATGGCCTCGATTTTGAGTTTTTATTCAGGAGTACAATAGCATGAGAATGCATGGATACCCAAAAGCCTTCCTTAGTTTCCATCTCCTGCATCAATTCCTAGAAATCTCGCCGTTGACATGTGCAGGCCCTTGGTCCCTTCGAGTCTTCAGTCTGCCTCCTGGACTTCAAGAGCTACGCCTCCAACCCAGTGGCGCAGTACGAAGACTCCTCTTTACTACGGGAACTCAACAAATGCCTGGTCACATTCCGGCAGTCAGTCAGCCGGAGAAGACCCTCCCCCGTGGGTCGCAGCTCAAGCTCCAGTGCAGCCGGACTGGAACCCTACTATCAGTCACTGTCCTCTTCCAAGACATCATCCTCTCGGAACAGCCTCTACGCGACAGACTCGGCGGACCAACAAAGCGATGACCTCTTCGTGGACTGCAAGGCGCCCGCGGTGAGCACAAAGAGCGCTACGTCTCCGACGAAAAAAACGGCCAAAAACGACGACACTTCGAAACCGAGCTGCGCCCAAAAGTCGCCGAACACCCAAAAGCCTTCCTTAGTTTCCATCCTGGGAGCTCTGAAAAAGACGGCCGATGCCTTGCCCGCGGCACAGCCCTTGGCGCAGCCCGCGGCGGCATCGGAAACGACACCCAGTGTACAAAGTTCGCGCAAGCCGATCTCAAAACATGAAACCGCAAAGAATATGATCTCGGACGAGGGTAGCTGCACCCCGAGGAACGTCGCAAGGAAGGTCGCGACAACCGGTCCGAAGCCCGGTGCCTCAAGACCGCCGCCGGCTTTGAGGAAAGGTCAGAGGTCGATGAGTTCGACTTCTTCGAAAGGATCCTTCGACAAGACGAGAAGCTTCGAGAGGATTCTGGGCGGACGCATGATGCAGCCTCCGTCTTCGTCGGCACCGATGCTCACGCAGGCGGTGCTGTGCGCGCAGAGGCACCCTTCTCCGCGACCCGAAAGAAGAGGCAGTGGAGCTTCGGGCGGCATGGTCTTTCGGCCCGTCACCATGTCGCCGGTGCTTTCGCGCAAGATGGCCTTCAGGCCCACCGCCGAACCACCAATCGGAGACAAGGGGAAAGATTGCAGCGTTGGTAGGACTGCGATAGCGCTGCCTCACTGCACGTTCTCTGCGTTGAAGAGCGGCGGTTCGGAAGAGCGGAAGGAACTAATAGAGCCCCCTGTTTCGTCGCCGCGGGTACAGCATTCGGTCGAGTCGTGTCCCGAAGAAGACGTCTGCTGGAGGATGGAGAGTCTCGAGGAGTCTCCGTGCTCGGAGCTGCCGGACCTGGTGGTGCCCGCGCAGAAGCTGGAGCACGCCACGAGTCAGTGCTCGTTCGAGAGTGTCGCGTCCAGCTGCGCGGAGATGGAGCGGAGGCGGAGCGGGTCGGGTGCCTCGACGCCCTTTGGATCTCCCAAAGAACGACTGCAGCTTCCTCGACTGTTATCTCAGAAGTCGGGCGAGGAGGATTATCACACTGCAGATGAAAGCTTGGGGGACAGTAAGTATAGAATATCCCACACCTTCGTTGTTTTCTGGGTTACTTTTTTGACTTACTCATTTTAACCGATATTCTTGAATATAACAATCGGTTTTAGATTTTTTTCCACTATATATTTAGAAGAGAAAGCAACAGATGTTTTTCGGTGTTCCTTCACTTTTAAGACATCGATATATTTTGATAATGCACCTCTGACGGGTGCTATAAACAAAAAATATCAGATGAAAAAGAAAAACTAATGAAAAACTGGTTTATACAAAAACGGTCGTTGCCTGAACAAATATTTAAAAAAATCGATGTTTTTCGGTTTGAACCGTTATTGTAGTTTTTGACACTGCGGCCTAAATATGATCTTCATGTGATATTGTCACGAATAAAGGTGACGAGAGGACGAACAGTGAACTGAAAATAAACGTCTAATCGTGGAACTTGTGCCAAACAGAAATAAAGAACGAGCGTTGAGGCAGCAGAAAAGCGGGCGGCGATTTGGCGGCGTAACAGCGAGCGAGAGCGAGACTGACTCGACAAGGTAGCGGCCAGTTCCTTATCTAGAGTGCGTCACTTCCTATAATATTCGGCAAAGGAGGTTGGTTCGAGAGTCGCGTACTCGAGGCGAGAACGAACAGACACTTTCTAGAACAAGAAACAAAGAAGAAATGATAAATGTTACGCACCGAGTAAGAATAAACGGGAATCTTTTAGAATTCCGTGACCGAGCGTTGTTTGCTCGGCCCTGAGCGTGGCAATATATTAGAATAATAAAAGGGCTCCAATAGGAAATCCTAACATTACAATAAGTTATGTCAAAAATTGGTCCTTTATGCAAAAAACATCTTTAGCTAAAAAAAGAAAAAAGATTGACGTTTGTTTTTATACATAAGGTCTCTCTGCCTTTGAGGTACGGTGACGCTGGTTTACGCTGTTGATGAGAAATTTAGCCAGTGCAGTGTTACTGCTAGCCAGGGGTCTTTAACGTGCACGACACCCGGCTCAAAACGGGCAGGAGTTGATATTGAACCCCGGGTTCTGCTGCGCGAGCTTTCGCTCCACGTGCTCCGAGCTACGGTGAGCACCCGGCCACCGATCCCCTTATCAGCTGAAAAGAATAGTGACTGCACCCATCACAAGCACAAAAATTAGATCGCGACTTCGAAAAGATTCGCTAGAGCTACAACTCTACCGAAAATATCAAGCAGATTTAACACGGCAAACAGGCTAAATTTAGTAAATTTATTGAAACATTCATGGAGCTCATACCCGTGATTAAACGTGAAGGTGCCGTGTCTTGAAGTTACTTCTTCTTGACAGCTCTTTAAATTAAAAAAAAAAAAAAAGATCAGCTACAAGCCCTTTTTTTTATTTTTAGTCATAGCTAGTAAGAGTTTTTTCTTTGTTTTTTACTTCTGATTTTGATTTATGCCCAGGTGCTAGTACCAAATGGTGCTAGCACTTTGACATAAAAAAGGGGGTAACAATGTGGGCACTTGGGCATAAAACTTGGGCAACAAATAGGCAGAAGTTACTTCAGCAACGCAAGGTACCTGATCAGCCAAAACATTACGACCCCCTGAACACTGTGTCAATGACGCGCTATCCGCGTTATCTATTACCTGCTTATGCGGATGGTAGTTAACGGCTTCCGGGGTTACAGATGAAATATTTTGTTGGCGCATCGGGAAAGGCTGGTGATTTTAGGCGACCTTGACAAACGGAACATTGTGATGCCCCGACGGCTCGGAACAAGTATCTCCGAAACCACAAAGCTCGTCGGATGTCCGCGAGCTACCGTCGTCAGTACCTATCAAAAGCGGAAGAACGACAATGAAACTGTTAGTAGAGGCCAAGGTGTTACAAGCCTACGCCTCACACACAATATAGACGTCGGAGACCTTCCCGCTTGGTGGAGCAAAATAGGCGGCTACCCGTGGCTCAACTGATAGCTAGATGCAAAATGCGGGTTAAGGTACAAATGTTTCTGAGCACAGAGTTAATCGACCTTGCAACTGATTTGGATGTAAATCAACGCGGTCTTAGGTAGGTGGTTATGATGTTTTAGCTGGTCTGTGTACATCCTTGTGTGCTCCAGGCCCCGGAGGAGAGGAAGGCCCGTCTCTGAAGACGAGGACACGCTGCCTCAAGTCCAGAAGGGAGAGGTCTTTCGGGACGCAGAGGAGCGGCTCGAGCGTTCTGTCCTCGCGGCACATGAGCAGGGAGGACTCGGCCAGCTCAGCAGGGTTCGTCCTCGACTACAGGAGCGACGACGACGACTACCTATTTTCTTTTCTCAGCAAGCACGAGAGGTAAGCTCGATGTACCGGACGTACTGGAAAGCCGAATCCAGTTTGTTCCAGTTCAAATCAGTAGCTTGTTTTAACTGGAATCACTCGAAATTTGAATTTGGGGAACCCTCTTGGGCAAGAAGGATAAAAGAGCTAGAACCACAGCTTGACGTGAAATTTTGTGGTTGTAATAGTGTATTTGATGCTACGTAGAGTTAAAAAGCAAAAACGTCCAATGGCTTAGGAGCTAGAAATAATAATGATATCTAGGAAAGCACTGGGAAGATGAGCGTGACGTTTCATTACTTAGAATCTTCGTGCACATCACAGTTTTGAGCCTTCATATTATTAGCACAGTGTCGGCCTCTTCTCCATCCATGAATTTAAATTAATCATTCCTCATGTGCTTCGCAGGAATGTAGGTTACAGTACTTCGTTTGCAAGTAGGTTATTCTCTTTTCTTGTAAGCTTAGTAGTCACATGGTGTCATATGCACAAAAAGACGTAGCTCGCCTACTTCTGAGATGCCTGACATTTCTTCAGAATCTATTACACTATTAGAAGAAGCTCAGATGCAAGCATAAAAATCTAAAAGTGGGGTTAAGTTAGACCAGGCGTTTTATGAAAGTGCTTTCCTGACCTTAGCACGTGCATATTTTATGTTATTCGGATTTGTTTTGAAATGGTGACATGGGAGAGAAAATTAACAATCAGGAACTATCAGTCCAGAACTAATCAGTTTTCTGCCGATAAAAAGTATTCTTTGTTGCAATTCATTGAAAGTGTGGAATGGAACATTCCTTTTAATTATCATTCACTGTTACTAAAATATAGCGAAACAATATATCTGTGGCATTGATTAATTATATTGGTCAGTAGTTCATCTACACAATGGCCATATTTTTCCATTAAAATTTTCAGAAAAGCAGTTACCCTATTGAAATACTTTTCTGAAAATTTCATTGTGATAAAGGGCGCGTTTTTATACGTTTTCGCCCGTTTTCGATAACTGATGCCACTCAACCCCATGTATTCAAAAGCTCTAGCGGCCGCCATTTTAAATTTTTTTTTTTTTTATTTTAGAATGTCACTTATAGATTTCGGACGAGATAACGGTTATTCTGAGACTTTGGCCTCACTTCGAACCGCTAGTGCTGCATTTAGGCGGACAATGAGTGTTTAACGATGCGGTCGTTTATTTGGGGTGAAAGCAACCCTGCAATTTCTGGAGGGAACACCGTGTACCTTGTGTAAAAAAATCCGTTTTTTTTTTGGGGGGGGGGGGGGGGGGGGGCGGCTTTTGGGGGTGGTTGTTGGAGGTGTGTATAAATGAATGAGCCGAGTCTCTTGGAGCAACATCGACCGCCACACTGATGCTTCTAACACGTTCTTTTTCAATTTCCTCACACCAGTTTCAAACTTTGTGTTTTGTTTACTCCGTCCCCGACTCAGATACGAAGACTTCCGTCGTCGCATCAAGCGTCGCAGCCGTCGACTGACCCGGCGCCTGAGCCGTGGCCTGCGCGGCAGCTACTCGAGCGGTAGCAGCGACATGGACGACATCCACGAAGACCCCGAGCTGGGCTTCTCCCCGCGGATGCTGGGGCCCATCCGAGCCGCCAATTCGGAGCCCACCCTGTGCGGACGCGGGACCGGGGCCCTTTCGGGGACGCAGGACCTCCCGGCGCTGTCCATCGCCGCCGAGCTGGTCGTCACGTCTTCGCCGGGGCGGCGCCAGACGCTGGTCATGACGACGGGCAGGGGACGGCCCAAGGCCTACTCGTTCGACGGCGTCAACCCCAACCTCCCGGTGCCCTTCAAGGCCAAGTTCAGGTCGGAGGTTGTTTGTCGTTGGCGACGTTTGGTTTTGCGGACATTAGGATTCAGACGTGCACGTGCGATCTACTTATAGACCATTCTAATAGTCTTCTGCATGCATGCGACCATCTTTATCTACTCGGCCGTGGAACGCATTCTGAGCACGTGCTGTAGCTCTTTTCAGCGAAATACCAGGCGCTGCGCATTCGTCCACAACTTAGTGACTTGGCATTTTTTTTGCCGGGGCGATGAGCGCGGGAAATATATACAGGTATTTATTTTATTTTTATTTAAGCTTAACAAATTTCTTAAAAAAAAAAAAAAAAAAAGATCATGAAAGCTACACTTATGAGGTTTGTGCAGGTGAGTTCTAATAGTCGTAGCGATCGGTCGTTTAATTAAGTAAAATTTATTAACTAACGTTTTAAGCAGTGAAAATAGACATATGGATCGCGTTAAAAACTCGCTGAGTGTCATTGAAAACCACGAAATCAGAAATTTTTAGAAAAAACTTTGAGTGCGTGAGAACGGCAGTATATAGTGCTCATGCAGCACGAGCAAGGCTACCGGTGTGATAATCGCCCGCGCGGTTTTTCCGTCTCTTATTATAGCCCCAGCCTTGTGCAGCCCCCAAATGTTTTAGCAATATCGCCCGAACGTCGACCGGCCGATGGATCAGCGCCTTATCGCGGAGTGAGACAGCAAGTCAGCAAGGCTGAAGTGTGTCTTCTGCCACACGCGCGTAGTCTAGCTGACCTGCTGTTTCACGCCGCGATAAGACGCTGATTTATCGGCCGGTCGGCGTTCGGGCGATATTGATAAAGAAATCTGGATGCCGTATATACCCGTTGCACGAATAATACCTTTAGGGCACTACTACGCTTCCCACGCGCTCAAAGTATTTCTGACAATTATTGGTTTGGTGGTTTTCGATGACGCTGGGCAAGTTTTTAATTGGTACCATATGTCCATTTTCACTAATTAAAACTTTAACAAATTTTACTTAATTATCCGACTGATCGGCACGATTAGCCCCCTATATATACCATGCCCACCTGGCCGCATAACTGCCGGTGCACAAACCGCATAAGTGTAGCTTTCACTGCTTTTTAAAAAACAAATCTCCAAACTTGAAAAGAAACACACGTGCACACGCGCACGCACGCACGCACGCACGCACATTTGGATAATTTAGTTTTGACAAAAATAAGAAATATTTAGTAAAACGTTTTCTGGAAAATCATATGAGACACGAGCAACACGAGAATTCCTGTGGTGTCCAGTCATTAAAACATTTATGCACGAGCCCTATCGAAAGCAGTGTGAAGAGTGGCCGAGCGGAAACGGAAACACACACATTGAACTATATGTATTATTCTGGATTATTTCCTCATAAAACCAAATCAGTTGTCGATCTTCATGTATCTTCGATATAAATGCTGGGATGAGTTGTGAATGTAAATGAACAAAGAACATATCTTACGCATAACGGACAAGTATTCGGCTGGACCCTTGAGCCATAATCCCAACCTTTTTTTACAGCGAATGCAGAGTATGCGCTCAAAAAGAAATACTAGTATTTATTAGGCAAAGATGAGCTAAAGAAAACTAGACAGCGAATATTTTGACTAAACAAATAGAACCCCGGGGGCATGTAGGCAACCGTACGTAACCCTTACATAAGTGTCAATCGTCGATCGATGTTTGTTTTAACTGTAAGTGCTCGAAGGACACCGGATTCCTTCATACCAACGCCACTCTTCTCTGGACAGGTACCGCAAAACATCAGAGGAGAGCAGCAATCCAGAGTCCCTGGGGATGACACGACAGGACGCCGAGTTCATCAAATCGTGCGCACATCCGCCGGTATCACCCGATCTCTCAGAGATTTCAAACGACGGAGACAGTCCAGAAGAAGGAGTCCCCGAAATGAAGAGAGAAGAGAGCGCCGACATCTTAGCTACTGAACGTCCGCCGAGCTCCACTAGCAGTGAAGAGGACGGCGCAGTGCCCTCGGTACTTCCTTTCTAGATGTCCCTGTCAGATTCTAAAGCATGATACGCGTGTGGTGTCGAGACCGGTTATAACGATATCGGTTATAAAGAAGTAGCGGATATAGCGAAGTGATTTCCGATTCCCGTTGACTTCGTTATAACTGTTCGCGACAGTATTTTAACAAAGAGCATTCGGAGCGCTAATCGTTGCAATCTACGGAAGGTGCTCGGCAAATGAAGGTGATGAAAATGTGTTTAGACAATTCAAGTCTGCAATGTGGTACTGAGCTTGACATTTCGTATGCTTACATAAGGCATGTCTTTTCGCATATTTTTCTTTTTTCTTTTTACGTTTAAACTTATTTTTGGCATTGTTTCTTTTTGCAGCGGAGTTCTCTCCGCGGATTGCAGCGATTGACCCTTTCAAATGGTCGATCTCTGCGAAAGTAGACGCACACAAATTTTCTATTCTAGTGTAGAGGTTGTCCAAACAGTGTTTTCAAACGATTACTATTCACTATACTCTTTAATCTAGAGCGAATGAAAATATAAACTAGGAGACATTGAAAGCACATATGAGTCAACGTATGGGAAAAGCAAGGTCGCACTGAACAGTACTTTACTTTTCAGAAAAGGAGAAAAGAAAAAGAACGATTGTCACCCTGTATTTGGCATACTGGCAAGATATGCAGTCCTGACCGATCGTGTATTTCTCGCCTTCCAGCAGTGTTCCGAACTCCTGCAGCAGTCCCGGGCAGGCATTCGGCCCATCGCCACGTGCCGGTGGTCGCGCGAGCACACGGAGGGCACGGGCGATGCTCAGTTGGAGGCCGTCATCCAATGGATAGCTGCCAGCATCGCCCGGGTGCCCTGCCTGGTGGTCTACACCGGCGGAGAGCCCAGGCTAGAGCAGGTCTCTTTGGGCTTGTAATGTCGCGAAACGTATCTTGGAGTTTTGCTTACATTGAGCGAGGAAAGACGGGCTTGTCAGGCGAGGAAAATAAACGCTCGTCTTATCGCACCGCAAAGACTATGCATGCCGAAAGCTCAGATTCTGCCAACATCGATAAAGCTAGCTGTTGGGATAAAGTACCATAGTTTCAAAACTCACGATGACTGGTGTAGAATACATTATAGAAGCGAAAAACTGATGTTTAATTACGCGACGCCATCGGGCAGCGAAATCAGAGGGAGGTTGTTTGTTTTCTAGCGCATCCCTGCAGGATGGCGCCACTGTCAATGACACGCGGACGTGAACTCATGAACAGGTGTCGTTTGCTTGAAGCGAAAATTTGAAGCAATGCTCATCTTCGCGCCCGCGGTGCGCCCAACTTCCCTCCATTCTGCAAGGGAGGCAGGGGGTGGCTTTGCGCCGCGATCACCGGGGAGCAGGACCGCGGGCGCAAAGATGCGCTCCGATAAGAAACCGAAATCTAGAAACGCGTCCATATGGAGCGTTTTTACAGAACGCCGTAAAATGATACCCGGGCGTTATATCCTTCTAAAAAGAGTTGATTTAGTGGTTTTCGATTATGCTCAGCAAGTTTCTAATTGGAACTATATGTCTATTTGCCCTAATTAAAAAGTTAATTACCAAATTTTGCTCAATTAGCCGACTGATAGTTGCGACTATCTCCCCTATACTATGTCCCCCTGGCCGTACAACTCACCTGCGCAAACCGCATAAGGGTAGCCTTCACGGCTTTTTTTAAACAAATCTGAAAGAAGAAAAAGAAACACCCTGCATTTATAAAACATCGACCTGACAAATGAATTTGGCGATTTCTTAGAAAAAAAAGAAGTAAAATGCTTGAAAATAGTTCAATGCATTGAGATCTCTTTATGGTGGCAACAGGGTTATAGACAAAAATAAAAATAACTCGCAGGAAAAAGAACAAAACAAAAAACATGATGGAGAGTCAAGCGTCCTTCGGTGAGCGAAAAAAAAAAAAAAACGCTAATGTCCACCGCGGCCGTTTCCGTGCTCTATAACCCAAGAACAAAAAAAAAAAAAAAAATATGAATACACGGTTTTTATTTTCCTTCTAAGTGGAACATTCCCTACAACATTTTTTTTTCGTAAAAATTAAAAACTTGAGATGTCGTCTGTTCGTTATTTTATTTACCCGTGTGTGAGGGTTTCGATTACGAAGTCGTTTGCTTCTGTGTTTCTGTCTGCTTGCATCCGCTGGTTACTGCATAGTACCATCTCAAAGATGCAGAGTGCGTTTTATCCCAATATTTGTTGAACTCCAAAAACAGAAATTGTTTTTAGAGTTCACTGTCCCTTTAAATCTGCCACTGCCTCCCATTTTCTACTATGACAGGCTCTTTGTTGCTGTTTCGCTCCTCTTGAAGAAGGAGCGCAGCTTTCGAAATAGACTTCTTAGTGAGCGCGTTGGTAATGATGTAGGTTTAGAAAGAGTTATATACGTAAAAACAGGGGACGGGACAACACATCTTTCATGAACACGCTTGAAAGATGTGTTGTCCCGTCCCCTGTTTTTACGTATATAACTCTTTCTAAACCTACATTTCGAAATAGGTTCTCAGTGACTGAGTGCTGGTGTTTCGTGGCAGTAAAACCAAATAATGTCAGACAAGAAAACAAAAACACTGTTTTTTTTTTGTTGAAAAAGTGAATCATCTATTGCGACAGCTCGGACTCCGTTCGAACGTTGCAGAGCCAGCAGTTTGATAAGATACTAACGAAGCGACAGCAGTGATTTCGGCATCATGTATTTCTCTCTTTTCATCGGGGAGAGTTTATTTTGTGACAAGCGTGTTCATCAAAATACTTGTTTTTCTTTTTCGGTTGAGTTTTTTTTTTTTTTTTACGTTTTAGATTTTTTAGGAGCAGGATATTTTTCTCGCAGCTGGCCAAGGTGGGCTTCAAGGTGGAGGAGCGGCGCTGGACGGTGGGAGACCTGGCGTGCGAGACTCTCCGCTTCTGCCGCAACCGTGTGGCTCTGCACGAGGGCAGGAACAGGGACAAGCTCTGCCCGGGCCTCACCCTCTTCACCCAGCTCTTGGGACAAACCGGACCCGGAACCTTCCAGAGCCACGACTCGCTCGAGTAGGCGTGGTCGAGACACAACCACCACGTGTGCTCCACACTTCCATTTGATTTGAGTGGTTCACGAAGAGCTCACTCTCCAAATGAGCTTTTTTTTTTTTGTTATATTATCGTGATCTAGTTGTGCAGTGCTCACCAAACTTACCTAGAACACGCGAACTGCGTCTTATCTCATGAGAGCACTATCCTGGCGGCAGCCGAAAAACTGCTCCATGACGTAGGGCTCATTGGAACAGTCCGAGCAGGGAAGGCCGCTAGCTCAAGGCCGGGACGGCTGCTGGACCGGCCTCCAAAACGAACTCTTTTCGCCCCCTCTCCCCGCTTAGGGTGTAGAGGTAGATGGCTTGTTCGCTAGAAACATCAAATGCTGACTGATTGAATCATACAATCACTTACGGTTTCGACACTCAGCTATGCATGTTCGTGCGAAAGGATGACCTTGAGCGAGCGGCCTTCCCGGCTCGCGTTGTTCCACTGGGGACTACGTAATTGAACAGTTGTTAAGCTGCCGCCAGGATGGCGCTCCCATGAGGTAAGATGCTGTTCGCGCATTCCGCCTAAATTTGGGGAGCACTGTACTATTGTGGTCGCCATGACGCAAATAGTAGAAACAACCTGTGCGCCTTGCCGTACTTAGCAGACGCCACAAAAACCTTGTACGAGAGTACAGAAAAGGGCAAAGGTGCATGAGACAAGGCAGCGAATGCTTCGTGCGTGCCACTAGTCGGGCGAAGGGTCTTATATCTTGTTCCATTTCCCTTCATATAGATACCGCAGTGGAACTACACCACTTTTAGCGGTACAGGTTCTATCCAGAGCAGGGATCTCAAAGCGGGTTCCCCGCAGTATTCTAAGCAGTTCCTCGAGCATACAAACTCTCTGTGCCCTTCCGCTCCCAAACAAGACATTTTGCCAACTATGAGGCAACTGGTGCAAAATAGCGGCAGGTTTACGGTGCATTGATTCGAGCCAAACACTTCTGCCTACCCGAGTAATCGACGCATTGTTTATGAACAAGGCCTACGATAGTCACGTGAGAGTTAAAGAAATGATTCGTGATTGGTTCTTGGGCCTTTTTATCGGGCTATCTGATTGGATGTGAAGCGAAAGCCCACATGCAGATGATCATCGTACTTACTCTTGCGAAAATGTGATTTCCACAGGTAGCATTTTCGTGCAAGAGCATTATTTCTGTCCTGTAAGTTGCTGGGCTCCCCCTGCTGTCGATTGCCATGAAATAAGAGCATCAGCGTGCTGCACGAGACAGTGGATGTACATGCTATGGCCATAAACAGCGAGTCGTTTACTCGAGCACCGTAAACCTGTCTGTGGTGTTTTTGGTTTTCAAGAAACGTGGAAACCCCGAATTAAACTGTTTTTAATGGTAGTCGTGTTTTTACAGGTATTATGTACCCGGTAGGCGCATATAGAGTGAAAACTGAGTATGCAGTCATTGCATTTGCATAAGTGGTATACAGTCCTGAAGCTGCCAAAAAGAGAAGATGTGGGACTGTTGATAATTAGGGATGAAGGAGAGTCAAAGATTATGGGAGCGTAGACTCAAGATACCACACAGGACATTTAATTTAAGAAACATAGCAGGTTTTTGTTTAAAGAAAGTACATTTAGACGTATGTAGATTTCCAGGAGTCTCATTCTTCTGTCGGATGTCAGGGTCATCTCACCAATACGCCATTATGACTTCACATAAATAAGACACTGTCCGCTGGCTAGATATATTGGGTGTTGAAGTAATTAAAGTTATCAGATTTCTAATAATTCCGTATGTAGAATTTGCTAGATTGGAGGTCCAGAGAAATTAATTTGTTACCATTGTTAGTTAGAGTAGATACCTTCCAAATTGACTCTGAGGCATTTCCTTTGTCCATTGTATGAATCGAGAAGATAAAACTATGATACAATTGGGATGCAGATTGCTAGAAGTCTGGCTTTATATGTCTAAGTACGATATGGCAAACTACAGACAGAACGTAACCTCAATACCTTTTGTCCTCTGCTGTCTGGTAAAAATGTAATGTGCTAAAGCTTTTATTTTTTAACTAAAAAACATAGATAAGTCTAATCCATTTATATCGAACCAGGGAATAGTCAACTATCGAATGTAACGAATGAATGCTCGTTTCACGCTTCAGTTTGTACGCTTTCAGTAAAATTTCAACCCACTTTTTACGAAGATATTCAAAGCGCGGTCGTGGATATAAACAGCTCAAGCGCTCTCCGAAGCGCGAGGGGAAGGCTATGGGAGGCTTCGCGTGGTTGGTTGTTTGTTTGGTTCGGTTTTTGGATTCACGCCACGAACGCCCTCTTGAGGAGGAGGAGGAGAAGGGGGGGGGGGGGGGGGGTGAAGGAGGAAGGAACTTACAGTGTAAGAATATTAAAAATATTATTATGTTGTAAGTTAATTAATTTTTAACTTTTTGTAGTTTTGAACAAACACAAACAGGAAAATAATTAATTAACGAAGGTTTTTAACTCTTCTGAAACGTAGTCACATCATCATCATCGTTTTCCCATCACTGTTGATCAGTATTTTGAGACTCCCGGTTATTTGTCTACATCAACTTTTAAAGGGCATGTCTTCAAAATCTTTCTACGGACGAGCACAGGTCAAAAGCCTAAGTGTTTGTGTGTTGGAATCAGTCAAACGATGCCTTCAGCAGAAATTGCGTGCTACAGTGTTATAGGCTTTCTGCCTGTGACCGACTGAAACCATGTGCATCTTAATGGTGGCCTTTTTTTTAAGGTGAGTCCCAACCTAATATTGGTGCTTTCTATTTGTTCTTGAGTATAACTAGAACGCCTATTACGGGTGGTTGTTACCAGCGGTATAGAGTTCTTCAGAAAATTGCCTTATCTGAGCCCTTTCCGACTGCTTATATTTGAGGTGCTGTTCAAGTTAATTGGAATTTTCCAATGATATTTCTTATTCATTCGAATAAGAGTGCCAAAGGCGTGCTCAACTGACTTGTGGCTGTTTCCAAAGCTAGTGCGAATTAGTACTATGGGCTTTAGTTCTTTTCTTTCTGGCTTGTTCTCTTGGTACTTGTAGTTCGAATTCAAGTAATTCATGGCAATTATGTAATAAAAGTAGTATGTAACACGTAACTACAGTGGTGTTTAGGATGGTGTAGCACTACTTTTCCGGTATCGTTATTATTTGAGCTGAAAGTTTTGTAATATTTGTTTGTCTTTAGAGTGCTGCTCATTTGAATTATATCAATCAAGATAGCAAACATATATTACATAAAATATATTTAACTTATCATTGTTTGCAGTATGCTCTTTGCATAGGCACATAACTTTTTGGTGCTATTCTAGAAGAAAGATTACAGTTGTAACAGTGAACACTCGTAAATATTTTCTGATTGAAAGGCAAAGACAGAACTAATATATTTACCAAAGTTGTTTCTCCTAGCAATTACTTATATGTCCTCCAGTCTGTTTAGCTGCGTAAATATGTCATGTTAGTGAGTTATGATGAACATGATTTACAATTTACTTCTAGTCAAAAGCTTTTATGAGGACAATACAGGGATACAAATGTCACAACTAATATGAATCCTGTATTTGTAAAGACTGCATGCACCTTGTGATTCACAAGTATTTTAACGACATGAATTTTGACGAAATAATTTTATAAACTTATTTTGTTTCAAGTTTTTGCTCTCGATGCATTCTTCTTCAGCAGTCTCAGAAAGTTGTCACGTTTACCTTATGTAGCATAGCAGAAAAATCACACTTGAGTGAGTTTTGCGGAGTCAACTTTTTTTTTTCCATACTTGCTTTTATGTTGGGATGTGTTTTTACATTAAATACTTTGATGAAAATGTACATTAATTGAACAACAACATTTATATCTATTCACGCAATGTGAAGATAGTTGAGAAGATTCTGAAGTGACTGTGAGGCTCTGATAAATTTGACATGTGATTTGTTGTATTGAAACCTATTAGAGAACTGCAACTATTACATTGAATGGATCCTTGCAGTTAATTTTAAGGCAAATTGTTGTTTTCACTCAAGTGGTCTCACTTTATGCATAGTTTAGTGTCTTCACGAGTCTTGCACCATACATGTTTCACATATTTTGGTGTTTCTTTTTTTCAGTTGCACATGATGTTTTAATGAATGTCTCAGCAGTGAAAAATGGTAGCAAGTACTGCCTTGCACAAGTTCAGGCATACGGCTCATGCTGAGGGGCAAGCGTCTTTCCTTTCACACATATAACTTGCATACGGGCTGCCTGCGCACACGGCATGTCGTGTCCTATTTTTTTTTCTGAGATTCGTTCTCATCTTGAGTGCCTTATTTTATGCAAGTTCGAGAAATACCCTTTTGCCTCAGTGTTGGAAAAAAAGAAATGTTTGCACATGTTCCCAAAGATGTTGTGTAGTTTTACTGGAGTTTTTTTTATTCCAGGAAAGATCTAAAAAGTATACAATTATATTTTCCAAATAAACATTTTTCAGGAGTGCCTTTGTGTGCATCGCATCTTCTTTCTACAAATATCAGTACGGGTCTGGTACAGGTTTTTCATGTGATAAGCAGCTACGGGGGTTTACCCACGACCTGCAAGTTAACATTAACACTATAACACCCAAACTGATGTCGTGTTTCTTGATTTTTCTAAAGCCTTTGATCACGTACCTCATTGCAGTGGGAAGGGGGGGGGGGGGGGGTGACCGCCGCGGGTGCAGCGCCCAGGGGAATATTCGCTTCGATCCCAATTTTTTGTCGATGGGGACTTCCAGTTTTGCAATACTAACGAGAACTTCGGGTGTCCCACAAGGTACTGCACTATCAGAAAAAAGGGTGTATTTTTACACCTTTTGTCCCATATAATACACCCCAAAACTTCAGTTCGACGTACAGAGCGCTGACGTCGATCTGACGGTACTAACTTTCACAAGAAGCTCGATAGCCGAGTGGAGCAACTTATTAAAGTAGCTAATGTAAGCGTGACCGACTACAAAAAAAGTAATCGGGGTTTTCTTCGCCCTACTGCAAAGCCGCAGTGTTTTCTTTCTTTAGTCTACGATACGTACTTTTGCTGTTTAATAAGTTATTTCGCACCGTTATCAAGCTCCTTGTAAAAGTTCGGACCTTCAGTTCGACGTCACTGCGCTGTGCGTCGAGCTGAAGTTTTGGGGTGCATTATATGGGACAAAAGGGTGTAAGATAACAACACCCTTTGGGGTGTATTATCTCATATGGTACAAAAGGGTGTAATACGACACTCTTTTTTCAGAGTGTGTCTCGTGCCTTATTTTATTCCCTGTATACATTAATGACCTTCCGAGTTCATTATAACACACGCTTGTTTGCCGATGATTGCGTCTTCTACCGAAAAATCAACAACCAAGAGGACCATTTTACTTTCTCGTCGCCGTTCATAATTGGTGTGAAAAATGGTTAATGCCACTTAACACGTCTAAATGTTACTCGCAAAAAAAAACATTTCTTCGTTTTCCTATTTTCTTGATAACGTGCCTATTAGTGTCTCTTCATACATACCTTGGAGGTCACGTTACCTCTAACCTTTCGTAAGTCACCCACATTATACAACGTAATTGCTAGTGCGTCTCGAGCTCTGGGATACATTCAACGCAATCTTAAAGCAGCACATCCCCATCTCCGAAAACTAGTCTATGAAACCTAGTACGTTCGCCCGAAACTGGAATATGCCTCACGGATCTAGAACCCCCATAGAATCGACCTGACAAAACGCTTCGAGACTTCGAAATTGAGCGGCACGCTTCATGACATCCAGTTATTTGCATAACATAGGCGTTTCCTTACTCAGATATCAATATTCTCTCCCGCTTCTTGAAAATTGCTGTATATATTTTTTCTTCTACGTGCCATTCATAAGCTATACTACCAGGCAGGCACGTAGCCAGGGGGGGGGGGGAGGGAGGGACCGATGGGGCCCGGGCTCCCCCCGAAATCTTCCATTTTGCTGGGACCTCCTCTCCCTCTCCCCCTCATACAGCATTTTGTCATGGGCAGGCAGCCACCCCCCCCCCCCTCCCCCCGAAACAAAACAAAATCCTGGCTCCGTGACTGCTACCAGGATGCAAGTGTTTGCTTCCACAGATCTCCATATCGAACCAGCAACAGCGGAAGTTTCAAGCACCTAACCGGTCCAATGAACGCCTTCATCAACTCAGCCGTTCCACGAGGCATCAGAGATGGGAACGACCTTGCCAATTCCATAGTGGACGTTGACGACTCAGTATTATTTCGTGAATCATTGTTTTTGTTTTTTTCTAAATATTTAATTTCTTGGTAATATTAAGTTGGGCCCGCTTTTCCCGAGTCTGCCACATTCTCGAACTCATATACGTAACATATTAATTATAGCCCATTTATTCGATTCTAGAGGGTGATTTCATTTGAAATTTGACACTCGTATCAGGGTGGGTAGTTTGATTTGTTTAAAATAAGCTTATGTAATAGACCCATGTCAGTAATTGGCAAAAAACCGCTCTTTAAAAGAGTTTGTACGCATTTGTTTTGCTCTGCGCAGAAAAAAATAGTAAGTGAAGCAAGATGACATTTTACATTTCGGCTGCTTGATTTTCGTGTCGTTCTGTCAATTCTTGCAGATGAGTTGGAGCGAAAAGACTCACAATAATGCTTTCCTTGTAAATGAATGTTGCGCGGCCTTTTTTTTCCGCTTAAAACTAAGCTATTTCAAAACCATTTCATGCTAGAGTACAAAAAAAAAAAATGAGCCAGACATTGTACCCTTGACGTTCTGGAATCTTCTATCTTGGGCTGGGATTCATCACTAATGTTACTAAATAGTGTGCGCCTACCGTCTTATACGTGTGTTATCGAATGGTACAATTTTAGGTTAATTTTGTAACACGAAATAATTTGTATGAATTTTCAATTTCCATAAAAGATGTATAAATAACAATATAACATATAAACAACAACCAGTTATTCTCGAAAGGTCCTTATATCATTTCGCTTGGAAGAGATTAGTTAAAGTCTTTGACTCAATGGTTTATGGGAGCAATGAATGCATTTCTGTGGTGCTCGGTAATCGTTACCGTGGCGCGTTGGGAAACTCGGCTAAAGCGGTAGAATGGTAAATACGGCGAAAGTACACAAAGGAACAAGAAAAGGTTAAACGCACGGCACCGCACAGTCACGGAGAGACGTGCAAGAGGAGGCTGCGCAAGAGGACGTTCATCGGAAGCGATGCACAGCAGCGTCGCGCGCAATTTAAAGCTCGTACGACCGGAAATGGACGGCGCAGCTATGGGAGGGACGCTGAACATTTGCCGGTCCGTGTTTCAAACAACTTTTTCTAACGGCGGGATACCCACCTGGCCAAGTGTCAACCATGACGGAATAAGCGGGCGCTCCCTAGCCGCGACGCGTCCCTCCGCGCGCCGCTCTGGTCAGTCTGGTCAAAAGTAGAGCGAGAGAAAGACGTTCGATGCAAGTGATGGGGTCACGATGTCCGGCAACGCTGGCTCCTCTCCTGCGCTGGACACCCTCCTAGCGGCGCTGCTCCTGGTCTGCGCGGTTAGCCTGGCGGAAGAGCCAGACTTCATGCGGCAAGTCATGCCCCGTCGTCTGCTGTAAGTTCCTTCTTCTTCGAGCATCTATAGACCATTCCCAGAATCGCCTTCTGCGAGCTGTCATTGTCTGCCATGGGTTGTAAAACGGCCCATGCAGACAAAGTCATGCGGCAAGTCATACCCGTCGTCTGCTGTATGCTCCTTGTTCGAGCATCTATAGACCATTCCCATAATCGCCTTCTGCGAGCTGCCATTGGCTGCCACGGGTTGTGGAACGGTCTTTGCGGACAAGGTCATGCGGCAAGTCATGCCCGTCGTCTGCTGTATGATCCTTGTTTGAACATCTATGTACCTGTCCCGTGCTCAGCGCCCATCCGAAGAGTGCTGAGTCACTCAGCTGTGGACGCATGCGTGATTTCTGACATTCCGCCCAAGACAGCTTCCTCACGTTTGGCGGGAGAGAAGTGGGAAAGGGCTGCCGTGCTCTTTCCTTCTTGCTGGGTTGGGGCAGTTAGGGCAAACGGGAGAAATCTAGACGGCGGTCATGAAATGCAGTTCATCGGACACCGTCACTCTTCGCACGTCAATGGCGAACGAAAAAGATCAGCTTCCGCCCTAACCCATTGCGGCTTCAGAATCCGACGCTGCAATATTCAAAATGGCACTGCCCACGAAGAAAACGGTCTATGATCCCCATAATTGCCTTCTGCCAGCTGCCATCTTTGTCTTCTGAGCTGTGGAAAAAGGCCCAAGCAAACAGAGTCATGCCCATCGTCTGCTGTAAGTTTCTTATTCGAGTCTACGTAGATCATTCCCATAATCGCCTTCTGTCAGTGGCCATCTTTGTCGCTCGGCGGTGGAAAGCGTTCTCCGCACGCGCAGTAAGCGTCTTCGGCGGAACATGAGGCGCCGCCGCGCGCATGCGTCCACATGCCAGGGACTCCGCATTGGGAGCTCGTGTCGCAGAAAATTCGGCGTCGGTGTCGGTGGGACGACAAAATCCTGATTGGTCAATAGTCATGACGTCACAGCCACATGGCAATCGCGCGGGAATTTCAAAAAACCCACAACGCTTACGTCAAACGTGACGTCTCACTGTAATTTTTTAGTCCAGGTGGCCAGCGCTGGAATGTGCGTGTGCCACACACATTCCAGCAATTCAGACGTAATTGTGTTGAGCGACGAAAACTAAGATGTCCACAGAACGGCAAAACAAAAACAAAACAAAAAAATATATATATACATATATAGCTGGCGCAAAGTTATGACCACGCAATAGACCGATCTTACTGAGCGTTCGGCGCATGCGTGACGCCGCCACAAACTTTAGTTCACAGGAGGCAGACCAACGTTTCTGAAGCAGACGGCCGTGCATGCGAGGGCTCGTGCCGTATCGTGCAGTGCTTCCAGCGAGGTTTCCGCACGTCCAGAAAGAAGTTTTCTCCATGCATCGCGGCAGCGGTGGCGCAGTCAAACTGGCTGATGAGATCGATCTATTCCTGCATCGTACGATCACATCAAATTAAAATGAAATAGAGGACGATAAAATGGCGGCGTAGTCTTGGTCGAAAGTTCAAAAACTCAACTCGCCCTTGAATGTGCCTCAGAAAAAAAAAAGAAAAGAAAAAAAAAGACGGAAACGTAAGAGCAAAAAACGTCTCAAGACTGAAGTCAAGGAAAGGACGACACACATCGGGAAGTCTGAATAAGACTTCACGTGCACCTGTGTAGTCCTTTCATTGACTGCACGCAATCTCGAGGTTTTCTTGCTGGTTTGCGATTAACGCCGCCATAAGACTTGCTCCTCTGCACGAGACGGGATCCCGACAAGATGGTACTGGACAAAATTGTTCCTAGCGCAAAACTTGAAACAATACTTCTATGTGAATTTGGCGGGATTGCATTCTAAACCTTTGAGGGTTCGACTGCTTGTATCAATCCAAATTAAACACGTAGGCAAAAAAAAAAAAAAAACAGCACGGTAAAATAATTTTGTTACAAAACGTTCGACCTTTAATTTACTTATTTGTTTTATAACGGATGAAGTTAATTTCTTTTTTCTAAAAACACATTTCAGTGTAGTGTTGGGGACAAGTAGGCGGACACAAACTATGCAAAGATAAACAAGTACTTCATAGCAGAGATAAGGTAACTATCTCGCATAAGCGGCGCAAACCTTTTACTGTACTGGCTGCATCTCGTGCGCTAAACTTAACAGAAACCTTAATGTGAAGAAATCCATTTTATGAAATATTACGCACTTTTTTTAAATAGTTGCTGAAAAATAGGTTGCAAAGGAACTGGATGCGATTATTATGTTCGTCCACTCGACTAAGTTGTCCTTTCCCTTGGGGAGCCGCTAAACGTTCTCCTGTCCATTATCAGCTTCGAGTATTTTACCTATTTTTTTCCATTCATTCAAAACTAAGAGAACAATGCGCGTAATATGCTGAACACGGGTGTTGTTTCATTGCAGGCACTAGATATTGACCACACTATTATAGAGGCCTTGAGCTACTTCTCAAGGCTTGAAGAGAAGGATTCAATTGTTGGCATGGGCGAAACTACGTGGCAAAAGATCAACGTATGAGTTGCACGAGCATGTATAGCTTTCCACCGCTCTGTCAGTTTACACGTCAATCCAACCCACGAGACGTTTCCGTCGTTCGTGTATCTCATGGCCCGAACCTCTTGACCGGAGTAACAAACAAGAGGGGGGGGGGGGGGGGGGGGGGGGGGGGGGGGGGGGGGGGGGGGGGGGGGGGGGGGGGGGGGCGGACAGTTCAGAAACTGAATGGAAACAATACAGGGGAGGAAGCGCCAATAATTCGACGTCGCTCACTCCCCCCCCCCCCCCCCCCCCCCCCCCCCATCCCTTGTTCCGAAGCCACTGTATGATACGCTATAATCTGAAACTAAAATCACCATGGCTACTCCGGTCATAAGGTTCGGCCCCCCCGCTGAATAGTTCCGACGCCTCGGGTATCATAATTGCCAGACTTCACCGTCTTCGGAATAATCACGTTTTAATAAGCGCACATCGCTTTGTTTCGCAGCAGCTACGAAGAACTTCACTCGGAGAATTTGGTACTTGGCATGCGTGGAATACCTCATGGAGTACGGGGTAAGCCCCAGGTCACCAGGCTGGGCCTTCGCGTCGGCCCATAACTTTCCTTGTACTCGTTAATTACTCGTCTCCCAAGGTTTTGCGGTGTTTATAACCTACACTCAGAAAATGTGTAACTATCTCACGTATAAATCGCAACGGCCGTAGGCCGCAATTTACAGATGTTTTGTTAAAAAAAATGGTTGGTACAAAGGTGTACTAGGCTGCAGAAATTTCCGTAGAACTGCGTGTGGGTGGCACAAGAAATGAGAGGGGGGTGATATAAGAGAGGTCCTGTCTGTCCACTCGTTCGATGTGCGTTGTTCGTGGCAGCTGGAGGTACGTCCAAAAACTCGTGCCGCATGACGATGGCGGGTGTGCAAAAGTGAATGCCCGTGGCTCGGAATACCGTAGCAGCAATTTTGCAGCCTCCGCGCCGTCATCTCAGAGTTGCATATGCGAAATTGTGTGCGAAGTAAGTCGAAAAAGGAAACCTGAGCGCCCTAAACTCGTCAAAAACAGAGTTGGGGCCGAAGTCGACGGAGCACACTGATTGGCGTATCACGATGATGACTTCGCGCTTTTTTCGCCGACGTCCAATCGGCACGCTCCGCGAACTTTCGGCTCCAACTGTTTGACGAGTTTAGGGCCCCTAAACTCGTCAAACACAAAGTTGCATCTGGACCCACGGATATCCGCATCCGATTCACTAAACGCAGCCCCTGGCATCCCCATCCGATACGCCAAATCTGATTCATTTTTATCCGCATCCTTCAGTATACTGCGGATATCCGCGGATGATACGCGGATATGCAGAACTCTAACTATATGAACTGTGGCATGTAAACTACATATTTGTCACAGCTACCCTAATCGGAGGGATTTATAAATCTGCTTGCTATGTGCAACTTTGTTCTATTTGAAACTTGACCAAAAAAAGAAATCACGAATTATGAACGCGGGCTGTCAAGACATCGCTGCTTAACAGAATATAGTTTTAATAGATCCTTCCGATACCTTCAGTACCCCCAATAACTGCATGCGCAAAGGCGGCGGCGTAGAATCGGGTATCGTTATCAAAACGATCTAGTAAAACGTACTATTGCATAATTGCAGCGGGTTAGCCCCGTTGAGTGTGCTTCTCACCGAGCTCCGGTACATTACGGGGAAGCGACACCCGCGGAGCCCATCGAACTCCGTGGGTATTGCTTCCCCACAGTTCACAGCTACTGAGTGAGAAGCGCACTCAACGAGGCTAACCCGCCGAGATCAACACTTTGAAAAGTGAATATCGCAGTTCACCTCGAAGCGAATATCGAATAGTGTATTAGTCGAAACTTGTATTCAGAAATTCGAATATTGGCACAACACTAAACATTATTATAGTAATACAGTTTCACACACTCGAATGAAAGCCCACTAATGACATTGACGAAAAATATCGGGTGGGCGATTTTTGGGGATAGCAAATGTTTTATTTAAAATGAACTATAAACACGCTGGCCCCGCTACGACGACACGGGTGACGGGAGCTGATACCGCAGATCGTGGACACGGCGAATGTGCATTTTACCTCGCGATAAACACGCGGGAACCCGCTACGAACTCGCATGTAAGCGATACGGCGCAGATTACGTTCATTCCCAAAGGGGAGGTTAGAAGATTAGAAAATAAAAATCTATAAAAACGCGAAATTGCAAAAAAAAAAAAAAAAAGTGGATTAGACAATTAACGAATGCCGAAATTAAGAGCAAAAATATCAAGAGGTGTGATAGTTCTGTTTGACCGTTCGGAGTCGCCCGCTGCGACTGATCAACAATTCCACTTAGAACACAAGGCCTGCGCATGATGTCATCGTTAGTGGAGCCCCGACCCGTACCAAGCTAAGTGACGCCAAGTGGATCCACTAGTGGCGACGTTTGGAGGGGGGGGGGGGGGGGGGGGGGGGACTGTGCTCTACGGCGCAAGTTTCCAAACATTTTGTTATTTTTTCGTTAAGGTTGATAAACGATAATGACATCACCCTAAACGGAAGGACATTGAGGCACCCCAGCAGGTTGGCCGTTTCAGCATTTTAAACCCCACGACAGAATGATTGGATCAATGATGATCTTTTGAGGGAGGGTGGTTCTTTGGCATTTTACCCTCATTCGACCGTCGGTGCTTTCCAGCTCGAAAAGGACGCCAATTACTGCTTCGACAGAATTGACATCCAAAATTGGGAGGAAGCCTTCTTATTTTTCTGCCAACACACGGAGGCAAGTATACGCTTATCGAACTGTTTATCCATGCTCCATAAAATACAAATAAAGACAGACCCGCTATAAAATGAGCCCAAAACAGTGGGTCACGAACCGGTTTTTTTGGTTGTTTCTGGCACCATTACCAGTCCAAGGAATGCTGGGCATGTGGTAGTAATATTTTTTTAAATGCAAGGCAGATGTGCCAAGCACAAGCTGTCAAACTAATTCGTGTTCCTAATATTTCTGAATCACAACCCAAATTTTCAAAAGTTCCTAAAAGCCCTAATAAGGTACTGCAAGCCTTCCTGAGACAATGTTGACTATGACTAAAACGGTCGGGAAAAGGGAGATGAAAAAGCCCACCGAAGGCAGGGAATTCAATAAAATCGGTTCATATTTGGATCTTTGGTAAAAAAAAACGAATCTGTTTTTGATTTCCAAACATTCCAGGAAGACAAGCACCACTTCCTAATGCAGTGCTTCTCAGATCGCATCAATGAGAACGTCATGTACGATGCCAGAGATGTTGACAAGATGCTTTCGGTAAGTGCGACACCAAAAATTGCTCCAAGCGAGATTACCACAACTTGGTCAGGAATATGCCACAAATAGAAATGGCTTTGTAAATATAAAGAGGAGGTCATATCTCAAGTGCTTTTTGTAAATACTAACATCCAATAACTCAGGACAAGCCATACATAAATACTACGCTCTTGTTGTTACAGAACTGCAAGCACCGGGTACCGAGTCCATGAAGAATCATCTCCGTGTTCAACTCTGTGACAGAAGAATGGTTAAATTTAACAGATCAAGCATGTGTCTGGAATGCTAGATTGCAAGGGGGACAAATTACAATCGTTTTTACGAGTCTAATACTAAACAATTCAACAAAAATGTTGTAATCATACTTGATGTGTGCAAAGTACAATTAATTCATGACAAATACAGAGTGAAACCCAGGGAGCTCCCTAATCCATTGCAATTACTTAGCACACAAATGGGGCTTCAGACATGAACTGGAAACGCTATGTGCATCACTGAAATACAAAAGTTTCAGAGAACAATCAGAAGTCCCAGACTATCACTTGGTAAGGCACTCAGATCAACTTCAAGAAAGCAGACTGATCTTCAATAAATAGGAAGGCACACTGGGGGCAATATTTGTAGCACGAGAGAAAAGCTGTGGAAAATCTCTGCCCTCGGACACCTCATGAGCTTGACACAGAATATCACAAGACCAAAACTTCCCACTGTGCACGTGATTGGTAAGGTAAGCTACATTGTATGCTGACCTCTTGAATTGTTTCACACACAATAAAATTATGTTCCATTGTTCTAAGAGGGTGTCTAAACGGAGGGTTGACTCCTCTTGGCTATAAAAAAACAAAAGCAGGCAAGTAACTGTTCCATTGTTACAGCAATAGTTAGAGATTTGAATGTGCAGGTGCACCATTTTACATCCACGTCAGCAAGGCAAAGTTTAGGTTAAATAAAAAGTTTGCATAGGTGGCCTGTGTGTTAGAAAGGTAGAACACTTCATCATTCGAGAATAAACCCACACCAATTGCCATCAAATTTCCAGGCACTAAAAATTCTAAAAAAATATGCAAGCACTTATGGTCATGGTGCACTACATAATAAAAACAATTTTGCCAAGACCAATAATCTGAAATTTAAAATTCGAACAAACAGAAAATCAATGGAAACGTGTCACTAAAATAACTGAATCTGTCTCCTTGAGCAAATAAATGGTCTTATATTACAAGGTATGTCCCACCTCTGGAATCTCTGTAGGCAAGCAAGTTCACCTGCAAGGATCACTTTCGGCCACTGCGCTCAAGCTTGCTGTCTTCAAGCATGTAGGCCGGCTTGAACCTGCGAGCTCCTCTACTGTCCCAGTATATGAGCACTTCGTTTGGAGCTTCGTTCTCTCCTATGGACGAATAACCTTGGTCATACAGTGCACAATACGGAATGCTGAGGTCGCGGATGAAGTTCCACACATCCTTGTATCCCCAGTCCAGAACCGGAAAGACACGCATTGCTGGTGGCCAACCCTGGTCTGTTGGAATGAACGGCTTCAGCTTGTCCCCACCAGGGTCTGTTGACCTGTTCCCCAAAAGGAACGCTTTCACGTTGGGCTTTAAGCGAAGGTACTCCCGAACGGCGTCCTTGTAGCACGTGCAGGATAATGTCTGCAAGTCGCAGTAATAGATCTTGGCACTCTTTTGAATGAATGATATGGTGTCTGGCCACATACTTTTCCCACACATGAACAAGCACTGGATTTTGGGCTTGTCTGGTTCAGAACAATCCCTCTGAAGGACTGCATACACCATGTGGAGGAGGACGGTGCAGTCCTTGCCACCACTGAATCCGACACAGATGCCTTCCACGCCGTATTCGTCAATTGCTTTTTCGATGATCTTGATGGCAGACGCTACGTGCGGCATTTTGTTCGCAAGGGCAGAGACCTTCTCCCAGGTATTGTTCAGCGGGTCGCGGTCGAAGCTGATGACGGTGTTTGCAGGGAGATTCTGAATAAGAAAGTTCTTTGCACCCGCCACGTCATCCTCACTGTCCCCCTCGAGCACAAGACGCACCCTGTAATAGTTGTTGTCCAGGGAGGGATAGGAGCCGATCTTGACCTTGTCCTTGAACTGCTCCACGGCCTTGTTCAAAAGGGCCGTTATGCTAACTTCATCGGAATTTACGAACAATTCCTCAATGGTCATCGCGGTGTGACCGTTTTCCGTGCACTCGTTCAGAAAGAGCGGGAACAGGGCTTCTAGGGCTTTTGGTACCCCGGGTAACATGTAGACATTTTTAGTGCAGACCAGAGGGAGCCCAATAACCCTGCCGGGCCTTTGCATGGTACCGAAAAGTACCTTGGATGACTTTGGTATGGTGGCGAACTTACAGACAGCGCCGTTGTCGACGGCTTTCGGGCCGTAGAAGCTCAGGCAGAGTTCTAGGACGCCGGGGTGTACGAACAACTCTTCGCCGAAAGCCCGAGCGACGCTCTCGTAGGTGACGTCGTCGTGGGTAGGCCCAACGCCGCCGGACGTAAAGACATACCGGTACGTGTCCGAGAACTTCTTGACCTCCTCGGCAATGACCGGCACGATGTCGGGGATGATGGACACCCGTTCCACCCTGATGCCCAAGGCGCGCAGTCGCGAGCAGATGTGGAACACGTTGGTGTCCGCAATGTCGCCGCGCAGGATTTCGTCCCCGATTACGATGATTCCTGCCGTGTTGCCTCCTGAAGACATCCTGCACCGACGCCTGAGGAAGAAACGTGTGAATGGGGAAACACCGGCACAACGTTTAAAAGTTGCCAACATTCTCAGTTGCCGCGGTGCTCCATTCTACGAGAAAGCCATTTAAACAAATAAACGTAAAAAGGGTTACTACCTCGATAAGGGATCAAAGTAGGCCGGGTGGAACACCAACACATCTGGCGGTGGTATGCAGTGGGCCGAAAACAACGTTGCACCAAAAACTGAAAACAACAAGCGTTCTTGAGTGTCAACTTTTCCACGCGGAAGAACTTGAAATGACAAAATTCGACCAAATTGCGCGAAGAGTAGAAAAGAATGACGAAGGTATCACGTGAACGTTTTGTTTGTTTTCACTTGTTTATTTGGCTTTTTTGGCTTTTTTGCGCACAAGTACAGTACAAAGATAAGAAAGAGCAACACCAGAGAAGAAAAGTGGCGCTACGGGCTCCCAAGTTTGTCCACGTGACCATCGTCACGTGCCAAACATGTCAGCCTCCAGCAGTCAAAAGTCAGCAGCACGACGTATTTTGATCTCGCCAAACAATGTTGTTCAGCATCGTTCCACGGAAAAAAGGTAGGTCGACATTTATCGTCTCACAATAACCGCATGAACATTCACGAACGCACATCACATTATTGTCCTCGTTGCTGTTACGGAGTCGTCGTTGGATTACGCCGCTGGTAACGGTCTTTTTGTCGGTGGTCCTTTCAGGAAGTGTCCGAAGGAAATTTACTTCTGCGATCACAGCGACGTTAGGCCCACTGTTAATGTAGGTATAATGTAGAAATCATCCAAATTTTTTAAGTACCAAATATTAATAGTGATTACTATAGACACATCTGTTCAGTTCACTATCCACGTGTTGCGTATGAAGCTGCAACATACCCAAGCTGGCTAGGTTACACGCTCACGCCTCTACTAGTAAATAAATAAAAAAAAAGAACCTTTTATAGCAGTTTTTTACAGTCTAAATTTAGAAAAGAGTTGCGTTCGGATGAAATTTAATTTAATTTCAAGGTACGTCCGTCAGCTTCATCGCAGTGGGCTCGCAGGATCCGCAAGTTCAACGCTACGCGCTTGGGCTGCGATCCTCAAACTCGACACGCTCCTCTTCCTCGCAGAGAGAGTCAAGCGTGGCGCTGACGATGCAGACTCGCGGAGATAATGTCTGATGCGCCGCGTCCGACGGGAGTCGCTGCGAAAGCCAAGAAAAAGAAGCGACGCGTGGTCGGCTCTGATCAAGGCCCACAGAGTCGCGTACCTGCGCCATCCACCATGACAGTGAGTCAGACCCCGGAGAAGAAAAAGCGGAAGAGGAACCGGAAGCAGAAAGCCACTCTTTCCCTAGCCGACCAGGATGGCCAAGGGACCGCCCCAAAGAAAGCCAGGCTTGAGACTGCAGACGGTGTCAGTCCTGGTAAAGATGTCGTGCAGCACCGCAGGCTTCAGAAAAAAAAGGCTGCTGCAGACGTTGGCGGCACGCAGCCCATAACCAACTCCAGGGTTGGGCCGAACCCGAAAGCAATCTGTGCGGCTGCTGCTGCTTCTTCGACAAACGAGAACTGTACTGGCAGTACAGTGGTGAGAAATGATAAACTGCTGAATGTTAACAAGGTTCGGCTACTGAAGGAGCGCAAGGCACTGCCAATCTTCCCGGTGCGCAAAGAACTGGTGAGGACTATCAGACAGAAGGACTGCATTATTCTGATCGGGGAGACGGCATGCGGCAAGACCACACAGATACCTCAGGTAAAGCATTGCATCCTATACATGCCTCGCACGTGACGTCATATGGCACCGCACCAGCCGCCATTGCTCCGTACCATGCACATGTGCCTGTACCTTCTACAGCATACATTTTGTACAATCAAATTTGTTCTTCTCGGCAGGCCTTGCTGAGAAGAACAAATTCAACGGTGCAAAATGTAGGCTGCTGAAGGTACGGGATCAGGAGCATGGTACGGAGTAATGGCAACTGATCTGACATCAATGCAGGCCATGTATAGTTTTGCATTTGAAACTGTCCTTGTAGAGTTTAGTTTTGAGAGGCTAGTCGATTCAAATCTTGAGTAGATGCCATTCATTGTAACAGGACAACATGGTCACAGAGCATTGTGAGCTCATTCATTAGTGCTGCTGGCTATAGCAGTTGAAGCACTGCATGGGCCATTCCATCGGCCTTTCCATCTTTTCTTTCTTGGGAGAAAAGAGGGGTGCAGGTTAATCTAGACAGATTCCAAGGATGCATCTTACAGTTACTCTATATGAAGAAAGCATTAATTAAATCCAACAGTAAAATTAGTTAAAAGTCAACACCGACCATAAAATGCTGGGGGAGTGTTCACTCCACGTTCCCTGAAAACTGGATTAATCTGGACATGGACGCTTGTCCTGACGAATCGGGCACTTGACGTATAATTTGCAAAATTCTCAAGTTTGGAATATGGTAATAGTGGGTGCTTGAACAAAGTGGGCACTTCCGCGGTATTTTACGGTACATATAGCAAGCTGCAATTTTTCTTGATGGTGTATCTTATGCACGCTTGGACTTGTGCATGGACAAACTCTGCTGCATGCTCTTCTGCCTCTTGAAACTGAACAATGAACTAGCTCCCTTAGTCTTGCTCCCACTGTCGTGCACATCATTGAAACACTCCATTATCCTTCCCTATTAGAGCAGCTCAAATCGTCACCAATTGTCTAGCTGAGATTGGAATCTTAGTTGGTGTAGGTGTCTTCAACACTTTGAGAGTTTAAATGCAATCTCACTAAGGCATCCTAAATCCTTTCTGTTCGGGACGATGTGGGTTTGCTTTTCTATGGGATCACCCCTTGGAATGGGCTTGCCTTGCATTTTGTCATTGTATTCAACTACTCAGGCTGCCTCTAACAAGATTCATCCTCAAATTTAAACTGCATCCCATTTTTTTTGCTCTTTCAGTACCTTCATGAAGCTGGTTTCACTAAAAGGGGAGCGATTGGAATCACCCAGGTGAGCTGCCTTTTTTCGCAAACAGTCCAACATATTTTTCTTAGCTCAAGATTTATGCAGCGATGTAGCGAATCTGTGTCATGTCATTTCCTCATTAAATTTTCTCTCTCGCATCCTCTTTGGCAAAAGTTTGAAGCTTTGTTGCTCCAAAACGGGAGGATCATTAGAAATTTTAGTAGCAGAAATAGCACAAAGAAACCTTTTAGCATGTAGCCCCACCAGATGTTGGGTTCACGCTTTGCCCAGCTTTGTACAACTGAGAGCAGATTAACAATGAAACATAGTAGCAATTTAATTCCCTGTCTTGGGAGTAAGTCATAGCTTTTTGTTGAGTCTCATCCTTTGCAATGTCTCAAAAGTAGTGCCATCAATAAACCCATTTTTGTTTTTATCTGCCATGTTTTGCAGCCGAGGAGGGTAGCTGCAATCACGGTGGCAAACAGGGTTGCTATGGAAATGGGTGTGGAGACTGGCGAACTGGTGGGCAAACTTGTCTTTAAAGATCATTGTGATGGCTGTTCGCTCAGTACTACACCTAAATCCTGCATCGCAAATATTCCCCCAGGTTGGATACTCCGTTCGGTTCGATGACTCCACCACAAGTGCTACAAGGATCAAGGTGAATGCTCACTCTTTTTGCTAATAGTGCTTCATTGATGCAGTCAATCTCTGCTACTGAACAGATTGTCATTAAGAAATAGCTATTTTATGACCAATTCCTTTATTAGCTAAGCAATAACTGGGAAGTTGTTGCTCAAGCTGCAGTGCAAGTATCAAGTATGCAGAATGGGTTTACTGCGCTACTAAACGTCTTCACACACCTCCTTACCTCATCGTTTCCTTTGCTTACAGTATCTGACAGACGGCATGTTGCTGCGGGAGGCCTTACTTGATCCATTACTAAAGAGGTGAGTGATCTTTCTAACACACTGCCACCATTTTATTCTGCATGGCAGTAGGCTTAACATCCCATTACCATGAAGTGGCAACTGGAAACTGTGTGGTGGGGATGGGTAAGAAACCTGATTGTATGCATTTGCCTGCTACTATTTTAACGTTGATGGATTTCTGAAAAAGCTGTTCAGGATTACTGAACGTTTACTTTGTCTACCTGTAAGGTCTGCTGCAAGCTTCCAAGGCTTATCTTTTGATGTGGCATCTGCCTTGTCGTTTTGCAAACAGTGTTTCAGCTGCACAAGATGTATGACGACGTTCGTCTCGCAGGTACCGCGTCATTGTGTTGGACGAAGCCCACGAAAGGACGGTCAACACGGACGTGCTGTTTGGTGTCGTCAAGTCTGCGCAGAAAGAGCGAAGTAGGATGGACTGCCTTCCCCTCAAGGTTGAGACACTCTTTTTCTCTCAGCTTTTTTTGTACTCCCCGGATAAGAGAGCGTGGCTCAGGTCCACATGTTAAAGGAAGAAGAGGGAAGAGCGTTTGGAGGGCGTGTTGCTTACTTGCAGGCTCGTGTAATGCCAGTGAATGACCGAGTAAACTGTTTGTAATGCGTGCACACCTGTACGCAGATTGTGGTTATGTCTGCCACCATGGACGTCGACCACTTCTCAAAGTACTTTGGTGGAGCACCGGTGTACACATTGGAGGGACGGCAGCACCCAATAGAGGTATGTGCAGCTGCTAGAGTCAAAACTTTTGTATGCTTCTTTTTTTGTGTAATTTAAGCAATCTTTTTTTTTTCCATCTGTCAACGAAACAAAGTCTTTCTGCTGCACTCGATACGATAGTTTGCCCGTACCATTCTTGCTTTGTGTGTTAATATTCTGGACCACACGAATCGGGTTTTAATAATGACCGTGCGTCTTGCAGATGATGTACGCCGTGAAGAAACAAGATGACTACATTTTTTCCGCCTTAGTCACAGTGTTCCAAGTGCACAGAAACCAAGAACCGGGGTGAGTGTCACTTACCTTTCCAAGAATTTTTGCCACGAAAGACCTACTACTAGAAAAAGGGCAACTAAGAGGACGGTAATCTTCTTATGCCATCGTTCATTGTTTTTCCCATTGTGCCAATGCCTGCTGCTGAAGTCCGTATATTTATATAGTAGATTAAGCAGAACTAGAGTTTGAGGTGTGTTGCTGCATGCAGACTAGCCATCCTCGCATCATGAGGAAGAAAGGCTTGTCTTGGTTGCAGAGATATCCTCGTGTTTTGCACGGGCCAGGAGGAGATAGAGTCGGTGGTGAAAGCAACGCGGGAGACGAGACTACAGCTTCCACCAGGTATTTGGCGACGGCCATTGCTCGCTGCAACACATGGCGGCACAAGACTCACTTTTTTAACTTTCGTGTAGTTAAATTGTGTGCATTGCTCTCGGACTAAGCTTGTTTACAAGCTTTGCCTTTTTTGTTTTTTAGATGAGCAAAAAATTCTGGCTCTGCCTTTGTACTCCGCACTCCCGTCGAGCATGCAGCTCAAGGTTTTCCAGCCTGCGGCACCGGTAACTTCACCCTTCTTTCTTCTCGAAGGTAGTCTTTCTCGCTTGCCTCAGTAGACTTCTAGAAGCCTCACCAGCTTTTTGTCTGAATCCTACGACATCTGCCACATACGTGACCGAAACGTGACTCTGACATCTCTTATGTCGAGCCCCAACCAAGAAGGCGTAAATAGTTTTAGTTCACACTTTTGCTGCAGGTGCACTTTCATGGACGAACCAGTATTCAGCCTACGCATTTTTAGACCGTTGCATCTTTGACATTTTAAAGGACCCCTTTGACCTGTTTATGTTTTTGATCTCTACGCATTAATGCTGTGTAGTGACAGAGGTTGTCAGGGGAGTTGCACATCAAACGTTTACATAAGTGTCCAGGCTTCTCCAGCGACTTGAGGTATCTATCTCCCTAAATAAATGTGGAGCGACATCGGTTGATGTGTCCCAACGAACATTGCTCAAGAATGTTCTCCATGAAATTTTCTTGGCTACTGGGATCATCTCGAAATCGTTTTATCGTGCACATGCCTAACCTTGTTATTTTGATTGAACAGGGCTGGAGGAAGGTGATATTTTCCACCAACATTGCGGAAACCTCCATCACTATCCCTGGCATCAAGTTTGTTGTGGACACTGGTGTCGTGAAGGAAAGGTAAGCTTACAAGACCCATCTTCGAAACTGTTTCACTTTAAACATTCGACACGGAGCAGATTAGTTGGAACAAGATTTTTGTTAATGCAGGCTCTTTTTTTTTAATGCCTCTGCCCTCAACCGTTTGTCAGACTGCAGTAGGGTTGCATAAAACACATCCCTATATCATTCCTACATTCTGTGGAAGTGTGCCTTGGGTGTGGGTCATGTCTGAAGGCCACCGGGTCCATTAGGGGGAAAATCTTCTCACTTTTGCTTCTGGTCACACTGCACATTAGCGATTTTTAATTATAAAGTGGGTTTCACTTTATATAGTATGGAAGGAGGTGCACCAAATATATGGTTAGCACGTTAACGGCTCAATCTGATAGCATGAGGTGGCGGCATCCTGGAAGAGACTTGCCTTCCGGAGTGAGCTGGCGGGATGAGCTACAGTGCTGCCATTTTCTGAAGGTTTCAAAATGTTAGATTTGCCCCATTCATCATGAAAGAATAAAGTCCTAATTTTTTTTATGATCTGCCATATTTACTCAAATATGGGTTGACTGTGATTTTTAAAAAAAGAGGAAGGACAGGAAGTTTATACAAGCGTTGATTTTGCAGGTTTCCTAATCTCTCTAGCTAAAACTTACTGTTGACCGCTCTGGCCATGTCATTGGGGTGTACCTATAATTTATTTCAAGAACCATAGTTAAAAGGAAAGTGGGGCTCCTCGCAGAACAATACTACTTTCCTCCTTCCTGTATTGAGTTAAGATGCATGCGGTGCATCTTAGATTGGCTTTACTTGATTTTACCAAGGCGTGCGCGTTTCAAAAGCCAAAATTATCCCTTATTCCTTCGTCAACCAAATCTTGCAACACATGAATAGTGAGCAAAACATCCTTTTTTTCTTGATCTGACGGGTAGAGTAGGTTAGCTTGATAAAGTCAGAAATTTCACTCGCTATTGGAGGTCGTACCTTTTTTGGAAACAGTCGTAGGTCAACCCCTGATTTTAATTTCAGAAACAATACCAGGAAGAAAAAAATGCCGACCGATATTCAAATGAGTATTGTACCTTCGTACACCAGTCTGTCATCAACTTGTAGTTTAATTGTTATCTGAAAACCAAATTAAATGTCCGTAAACACTAAAGTGGGAACAACACCTGTCGTAATTACAGAAGGGATGTCAGTAAAATCACTACTTCCTACAACATAGACAAGAACAGTCTATCACTGAATTGCAGTTTGATTGTTTCTGATGTTTTCCTTTTTATGATTTCATCGATGTGCATTCGCTCTTTGAAGTGCCTTCCTGAAATAGTCCTGCGTTTGTTTTCTTCACGACGCTTCAGGACATATCAACCAGGAACGGGACTGGAGCTGCTGAAGGTCCGGAAGATTTCCAAAGCGCAGGCGTGGCAGAGGGCTGGCAGGGCTGGGAGGGAGTGCAGGTGCGCTGTCTGGCCATTTCTCGAGTCTCGCCTTTTAGCAACGCCACAAGCTGATGTCCGCATCACGCGAGATACTACCTTTTAATCCCATTCGTTTAGATTAGATTGTTACGACTTGTTCATCGCACTGGTTGCCGTTTTGCGTATATTTTGCTGTGTCATGTCCGCGGGCCGCACAGGAAGTGCCCGCAAGCCGGATGCGGCCCGTGGGCCGCATGTTGTGCACCCCTGGTTTAGATTGTCACGTCTTGTTCATCTTGATTGTTGGATTGGTGATGCACGGTCGTAAAGCGCATGTATGGCTTATTGACTTGGTCGCATCCTTCTGTGAGGCTGCATTCCATATTTTAACTTTCTGGTACTTTGAAGTCAGCCTGAGTGTCATTTTAGGAAATGTACTATATTCCAAATACTAGTGTGCAGTGCAATGAATATTTTACGCAGTATCACTGTGGAAGCAAAAATAATCTGTGAGCAGATCTGATCTGTCGTCGGTCGCATTATTGTAGTTGTTTGTGCAACTGAGGCGTGCAGTCATGCTGTGCATACATACATCGCTAAGGCATGTAGTCGAAGTAAATACTAGCCGTAAAAGAAAGCTTCAGACATGAAGGAAGTAGCATGACCTCTGCTGGCCCCTTTTTAAGGTTTATTCAAGTTTTTACAAAATTCCAGCATTAGTGAATTGCTTCACTTTTTTTGTTTGGTTAAACTTTGTAACTGGCACGCTTGTTCTTTTTTTTTTTCTTCTTCAGTGGGGTGTGTTATCGGCTATACACCAAGCAAGAGTTTGAAGCAATGAAGGAGCACAGCGTTCCAGAGATTCAGAGGTACTAACCGACGCCTGAGCGGTTCTCGTTTCAGTCAAATAGCTTCTGCCCCGACTAAGAGCTCTCTTCCTCTCGACTCCAGGTGCAGTTTGTCGGGTGTGGTCCTTCAGATGCTTGCCCTCGGTATCAGCGACATCTTCGCATTTGACTTCATGGACAAGCCATCTGAGAAGGTGGGAGGGGCAGTCCTGATGGTGCAATCGCTTCTTGTTGGTCGGTTTTCATTGCCGGATTTGTCTGCCCCTCGTACAGCGTTGTTCTTGAGGCACAGAGAAGGCCAGCTGTACCTGTTGAAAAGACACAAGCTAATTAAGTGTTTCACATTACGTGAGACGTAATTCATGTAGCTTATTTGCATCACATCAAACAGAAATAAATTGCTATCGTAATTTTGGGGGTTTTCTATTTTCATTGGTGTAATTTTTAGATTCAAAATGTCTTTGAATACTCAGCAGACGTTGACATACAGTCATGTCTCGTTATTATGGGTACCCCACTATATGGATATCATTTTCGGGAACAAACTGGGAGAATACATGCATTTGTATCATGTTATTATGCACAACTCGCATTCTGGACGATTCTTTGGGGCGAACGCAAGTCTCCGCATTAACAAAAAATCACTGTACTAAAATTCTTTTTTTTTTTTTCAATGCCATTCACAATTGGGACATGCTGGGCTTCCTTTTTTTATGAAATTATCTTGTTGCTGTGAATTTGGCATTTATCTTTCATTTAGTTGGTTATTCACTGTTCTGTTGCATTCTGTAATTTTTTATGTTCCCCCTTGCTGTAACGTGGGTATCAAGTTAGAAAGTTCAAATTTGTTTTACGTTGGAGGTGGTAGAAAGTGAGTAGAGATCTCCCTTCATGGTTTCCTTTGCTTTGTTGCAGCACCTCGTGGAAGCGCTGGTCCGCTTGCATCAGCTGGGGGCGCTGGAGAAGAAGGAGGCACTTCAGGTAGGCACTGCAATCCCTCATTCAAGCCTTAGTCAGGGTGATGCAAAAACGCTCCTTGCTGCAGCTCACCGCTGTTGGAAAGAAGATGGCGGCGTTTCCGCTGGAGCCCCGGTTTTCCAAAATCATTCTCTGCTCCAAGGAACTGGCGTGCACGTACGTCGGCTCTTCTAGAACCTCTCGGGTGTCGTCTTGTTTGGTGTAGTTTGACTGGTGTACCGGTTGTGTTCAACCAACACCGTATACCGTTCCCACTTGCCTGACGTTCAGCAAACCGGATTTCCTTTTGGACCTGTTCCATGGGGTGCGGTTTGTCTGGGAAAGTCAGCCATGTTGAATTTGGGGTGGCTGCAGCAGGAACTGCCAATTGAAGACAGGTTTTGTAATGTGCACACAAGTTGCATGTCTTGGTGCGTTTTTCTGCTGACTTGGATACAACTGCTACCTCTATGTACTGGTTTGTATCAGACTTGCAGTTACGTTCAAAATAAGGGCTGTTAATAAGGGGAAAAGGGAACGAAAGTTTAAAGAACAAACAAAAAAAATAATAAGGGGCCAGTTCAGTTTGTTTAGTTTTCTCATAACCAAATTCGCTCAGGAATTTTTTTTTTTTTTTTAGTCGCTTCCTTTTGAGCAGTTTGGTACCTGAACAGGTTGTGTAGCAGGCAAGACAGAGCAAGAAAATGGGATAATATTGCATGGTCACATTCTCCTTTCCAAAGTCCTCAAACTACAGATCGTGTTCAGGATTACGCTCAAGTGTCTCTTACAAAAGTTGCCAAGAATACGGTAAAATAATACATTGAAAATGGACTGCTTCACAATCGGCCCACGGTCGTGCCCAACCCACATTGACAGGTCGGTAATTTTGCCTGGAGAGCCTCCTGATTATAATTTCCTCATTTGTACAATCCATAATAACCAGACAAGAAGGCATGTATTTGTCCAGTTTGTTCCCCGAAATTTTGTCTATGTAGTGGGATGTTCATATTAACAGGGTCCATATTAATGAGATGTGGCTGTACTCCTTCCCCAGAAACCATGTGGAAGTGAATATGACTGCCTTTGCTGCATTGCCTAACCCCCTTCCTTTCTTTCCCTTCTTAGGGAGGAGATCCTCACCATCATTTCCATTCTCTCGGGTGACTCCGTGCTCTTCTTTTCCGAGAAACATGTGAGTGCCCGGACAGGTGGGGAAGTTCCAAGGCATTAAGTCTAACAGTTCGAGGTCTAATGTCTTTCTTCTGTGTGCTTTGTCCGTCTGTTCTTGACGGTGCCAGAGGGAACGTGCAAACGAAGTCTGGAAGAAGTTCCAGTCCAATGAAGGCGACCACGTCATGTTGCTCAATGTGTTCAGGGCCTACAAGAGTGTCAGGGGAAACAAGGTGGGTGTTGCTCCTTTGGGTTGTGCATGCTGAAAACCCACACCATGTAATTCATTGTGGCATCTGCATAGCTTGCTCTAGGTAGGTACACATCTAAAAAGATAAGCCTTCTCCGAAATTCGATAGTATATGAAACTGGTTTTCGTGTTGAAGGTTTGTTATAAGCGGGTTGCTTCGCATAACGCGGGGGTGGAAGCGCTGCGCCACTGTGTGCCAATCCACTTTCGCTGTGCCATCCTGCTCCCAAGCGCAAATGTTGCACCAAAACTAGCCAGAAAAGGTTTTTATTTTATTTTTTTTATTTTAAAGGCAATCAATGCAGATGGTTTTTGTTTGATGCAGGAAGGTGCCAAGTGTCTATTATCTCATCTAACGAGAATCATAATAATTTATTCCGGACCATGTAAATAGACACTACGTTCCGTTTCGTTTCATGGTCTCATGTTGATAAGCTGTCAAACGCCTGCAGCACAAGGGAGAACCGTGCGAGTTGGTTGTTTAAGATGTCCATTTCGAACGCGAGGAAAAGTGGATCTTTTTATTGTTGTTCAGGAATATACTGTACATATTTGGACGAATACGAACAACACATAATAAAAGTCTCGCGTTTATTTTCTTTCCCCGAACCAGTGCCTCGAAGCACTTGTTCGGGCGCGTTGCTTTGTGCCGTCAGTGCCACAGCTCGACCAACAATGTCATGTAATCCAAAAATGGGACATCCATAGGTGGCTTTGTGGTTTACTTTCTTCCTTTTTTTGGGGGGGTGGGAGTGGCGCTGAGCATGGCTGCGTTGTTCGAAATACCGCACCATAAATCGCGTGTACAGTAAAAGCTCGTTTGAACGCCCGTCCCCAAGAAATCAGCCATCCCGTTTTTCAGGCTGAATATCCATAACTTAAAAGTTCCCAAAACCGACCCCTTGCCGGATACCGATCACGCGATGTCCGACCGATCCTGTGGTCGCAGTACCGATACGTGTGACAAGTGTGTTCGCCGCGGGCTCCCTCGTGCTTATCGCACCATAACACGCGAAACTGCAGCGTCCGCAATCTGCGGTATCCGTTCTTGTGACATGCAAATTCCTAACTCATTCTCACGATTTATTATTTTTCCCGCGATTTGCACACACGATATCGGTTCCCTTGACTCCAGAGTATGTAGCGGGTTCTTGCACATATCGCACTGTGAGGCGCGAATGCGCTGCGTCTACATTCTTTTGCCGTACTCGTGACAGGGGAGTACATAGCGATTTCCCACGTTCTTATCGCACACATGCTTACCACAAATATTTTTTATAAAATTTTGTTGTCGCAGTTCTAAACATTACCCCGTATTTTTCACCATTTATCTTTTCATCATGGGTGGGCGTTGTTTTAGGGCTTTACGGTATATAGATGTACCTAGGAGTGATAAGTGATTAACTACTCTACAAAATTAAACAAACATTTGGCGTAATTCTTTTTTTTGCGTGCTTAGGGTGTTTGCTTTAGCTTACGCACTCCTCATTCGTGTCATAAACGTAACAATAAAAGCAATAATTGGTTGCCTCGTCTGTAAACTTTCTGTAAACATCTGTACACACAAAACGTATGTGGCAAATGCACGCAGTGGCACAAAAACAGCAAACTGGCAGGAGGACAAGGAGAACAGTAAGAATATCCTGCTGAACGACGCAAACTCTAATCCATTGTGCTAGCACACATTCATGCAATTGACTTGTGAGGAAAACCTTCTGTGTACGGTCTTGCTAGTTTTGTTAGTCACTTTTTTTTTATCAAACTCCTAAGCAACTTTATTCTATTCAGTCATGCTTGTTTGAGTAAGGGCTCAAGCGCATATGTATGAGCTGGGATGATATCATGAAGTTTTCAGTATTTTGCACTTGTACTTTCATAAGACAGAGTAGATTTGTACTCCAGTAACTTGAGTCTCAGAATGCATTTATATGTTTGCTAAGCAGGGACTTGGAACATTTGTATTTCCTGATAATGAAAACTGCAGTGAGTAAGTGTTGTGCTTTATTTTATACCATACTATTGCATCCTGAAATGGTTTTGTTTTCAACTTATGGAACTTTTGATTTGGGTTGTTAAATAGGCGTGCTTTGTTTTTTTATGAGGCTTATAGGGGCCCTGCAAGGACTTTTTACTGTTTTTTAATTTGCACCGAACCTGAGCGCACTGAACGTAGTAACTTAGTGAAACTCTTCTTTTCGCGAAATTCACTTTATTTTAAAAGTTATAGGCAATTTAGAATTACAAAAACAAGCAAAAAATAACCTCCTTCATGACGTCGTAGGTCCTGGCTTGAGTGGTGGTGAACTAGAGGAGGAATAGTGAGCTCATCGAGCACTCGCGGCCGCCGCACTCCGTGTCGACGGCGCCAGAGGGCGCCACTAAAGCATGTTCTGGATAGGCTGTATGCAGCGGGCAGCCAAAGCGGCTTTCATTGCGTTTGCTGTGCGATTAAACACTAATTCGGCATGACACTTCATTGGCCACAAACAACAGCAAACACGGGGTAAAGATCAGTTCAGAATAGGAGCCACTTCGCGCTGCCATACCGCGAAACGGCCAAACCGCAAGACAAAGCCTCTCGCCGAAGGCCTTCGGAACGCTCGGAGCTGGTCGGATCCTCCTGTCCAGACGACTGCAGCGCCACCGCGTACATCCGGGATTTTTCCGTGTCGACGCCTTATCCCACTACTCCTTTCCAGTATGCGCCGCCTTTTCCACCGCTTGGCGGCGGGTATGTTGACGGGTCATTTCTTGTTTCTGTACTTTATAAACTGCATTTCTTTCTTTCTTTCATCTATAATAGTGAACAAAAAACACTTTTATAAATAATTGAAACGGTTCGTGCCACTTATATTTTGTATTTCGACCAAAAATAAGTTTTTAGTGGCTCTGACCAGTAGTAAGCCCAGGACCAAAGACGTCACATTTTGCGCGCTTTCGGTACCGCGGGTCGCCCTCGTCGGTGGAGGAGGTTTCCGTGTCGTCCGGTTAAAATATGGCGCACTGATATTTAGCTACTCTTTCCGTGCCCGCTGGCTTGCCCGAATCCCAAGAGACGTGGAAACCGCATAAAAGGTAGACGCTTAAATATGATTGCAGGGCCCCTTTAAGTGGTGCTTCTTTTGTTGACTGTGCCTTCTATTGGAAATCCATAAGAGGAACCAACCCGCTACCAGGACAGTTTTCAATAGCTGCCATTCAGATAAATTGAAATGACGCTTATCTAAGGAAAGGGTATGTTTGGAAATGGTTTTGGAATGTTACATGGAGATGCTTTTTCGTTGTGATATTTTTTGTATTTAGAAAAACATCTCCGCACTTATAGCCCCAAGTTTGACCTGGATAACTAGCTCCAATATTTACTTATGCCGCTATGAAACTCGACTTTTGTGGCTCCTGAGCTGCTCCATAGCTGTGCTCTTACTGCTCCAAAGCTGTTCCAGAGGGTCATCTTTGCTGCTCCCAGACCTGCTACAAAAGGCTGAAGCTTGCTTCCACCCCTGATAATGGGAGAGGGTTGCCGGCCTGCAAGACATCTTTCTACAGTGCTGAAGGCACTTCACTCTTTGCACTCATTGTCTGAAAAGGGAAAGGTCCCTTTTCTAGAAATTACGGAAGGCAGAGAACAGAACAGCGACATTTGGGGCCCTCAACGGAGAATTAACATAGATTTAGCTTGACCGTTACCTTTGAGCTTCATAAAATATTCAGTTCAATTTGAAATTATTTGAACAGTATGGCCCGTTTAGTTCGGATCTTATTCGGTATCGGGGGTCATCGATGGCACATGCCCACTGGTTGTCGTCAGTGGCCCCTCGTTGTCGCAGGACTGGTGCAAGGAGAACTTTGTGAACAAGAAGAACATGCACAAGGCGATGGAGATCCGGTCCCAGTTGGCCGACCTCTGCCTGAAAGCGGGCATCCCGCTCAAGTCCTGTGGCCAGGACACCGTTGCCTTCAGGTGGGCACCGGAGAGTCGACTCTCCATTCCTAAAGCCACTAAACAACCATCTTTTTGTCACTCGTCGGAATCTCTTTGCAAAATCGGAAGAAACACTCTTTCGTCCTCCGGAAATGTCCATGCAGTCTGCGACAGAACAAAACAGTGTCTTCCAATTGACGGCTGAAGAACCCCTCCTGAACCCTGAGCAATAATGTGCAAGCATTTAGCTCATAATTATTTATCAACGGGTGGCTCAGATTGACTAAGATAGTGCTCAGACTGGGGAAACACTTTAATTTGAGGCAGGGACTGTTGAGGAAATTTGGGAGCCCCCGTGAGAGTACTCTGCGCAACCCAGTTTGATTACCCGTGTCTAAAACTCGGAAAGTTGCAATTTGGAATTGTAACTATTGCCCATTGCACCCGTTCTGCGCTAGGCAACAAAACTGCGGCGCACGCAAGACGGTCGGCGAATAGGGTGTCAATGCTCGTTGTTTATCTAGTGGCTCTAGGTGTTTCCAGTCTTGAGGGTGGTTTTACTATATATCGTCACGCTTTAACCACTTGGAATTTCGCTTGGGGCATTGTATAGGTGGAAAGTATTCTATGAAAGCTAGTTTTTTTTTGTTTTCTCCGAGCTGCCGTGCGACCGTGAAATATCTCTGTTCTCGCAGGAAGTGCCTAGCCGCCGGTCTTTTTACCAATGTTGCCGAGTTGCAGAAAAATGGAGATTATTTGACGGTGAGTGTTGTTAATTAGTATTTCCCTTGCGCGTGTTGGCCGAAAGAGACGGAGGGTGGGAATTCGCATAGGAAAATATTTCCTAGCCTCTAAAGCCGACCACCTGCCCAGTTTCTGTACAAATCTGCAGTAAATCGCAGCTTGCTGCAGATTTGAAACTTTATTTTGAGGGTGGGAAGTGTAAGAAGTGTCTTTGGCAGATGAAAAAATGTTTTTCGAGCATGGTGGAAAGTTACAGCAGATGCAGATTTAGTCAGACTGAAAACAAAACCAATTTTGTGAGGGACATCTGCTTTAGCTGCAGCCTTAAAGACCGACGACCAGTTTGCGCTTTACACTATCCCCTTGCTTCCTCCTCTCCCCCCTTCGACTGTGTACACTGTTGCTGTTTCCTCCTCCCCCATGGTGAGGAGGATCTTCTGCCTTGCAGAATTTTGAGTTTGGTCGTCGGCCTTTAAAGAATAGAGCAAGTATTTGAACCTTGCTTTTCAGACAAGATAACTTCTGGTGCTCTTAATTAAAAAACAAAAAAAAACATTGCAGGATTGTAATGAAGTACTTCAATTAAGAACTTCGTAATATCCTCATAATGAATATGTATTTTAATACATCCTGTTGATCCATTTCTTATTACTACTCGGTCAGTTGTTTTTGTCGAACCATCTACCATGCCTAATTGGAAATTGGGGGAAGCAGTTTACTTGCCCAACATTTCTTGATAATGCTAGAATGGAGCAAAACTTTCACTGCCTTCATGTGCTTCTTCATCTCGATTTCAAGCTTGAGCAATTTCGAAGCGTATGCAGCTTGCTCCATTGGGTGAAATGTAAAGTTGAACAAGTGTATTTAGAAAAGCCTTTTCGGTTGTGTTCTTCCTCAGATTGACGCCAGGAAAAAAGTGCACATTCATCCATCATCTTGTCTGTTCTCGTCTTCACCTTCATGCATTATCTTCACGGAAATGGTGGAGACTACCAAATGTTACATGAGGTGAGTCGGCACCTTTTCAGGGGGTGCAATTCATGCCTACCCTAATGCAGCTCAAAGTGGAGATGATCGTGGGTGCTTTGCTTAGTGGAACTCGGCAGACGAAAAAGTAACTATTTCAAATTGGTAAAACAGCTAAGGCCTGGGTTCTCAAGCATCATCATGCCTTCTTTCTGCTCACAAAGCAGAATGCATGTTTCCTAATGTTCCATTGATAATGTGTGTAGTTCACTCAAATAGAGGGAAGCATTGTGCCTGGCGGTACCACCATCATTTCGTTTGATTCAAGCGTTATGAATAGAACTTTGTTTACAACCCCTTACACAAACTCCACCTTAACCTTGTGTGCCCGTTTTGTGGCAGAAACTTGACCGTGGTGGATCCCGACTGGATGACCAAGGTTGCTCCTCAGTACTTTAAGAAGAAGAGGCTTGGACCTAAATCTCTCTGAATGTGGACCAGGTGAGAACCCACCTCATATCTTTGTGTCGAGACCTTTACGAAACATCCAATGTTTATTTATTTGAATACCTACATTACCCCGAGAGGCATTAGAGTGGGCCGAGCACATAAACAAGAAAGATAAACTGCACATTAGTACTGCACGTTTGGTTGGAGTAAATTGACAGCACCAGGGGTGAAAGGGTCAACACCAAATCACTGTTGCTCATGCTAGCTGGGGGGTTCTCAAGGACATCCTCGTCATTATGACAAAACAAATTTCACCGAACTTGTGCCAGTTTTTCCAATCCCGATTGCATGTAAAACGTTGTCAGGCCCAACTTTTTAGAGTTATTATGCCTCTCACCGATTCATTTGTGGAACTCAGCACGTGCTCAGCTTGAAGATTTTGTTGGTTCCTATTATTTTAAAGCCTCCTTGCCTTTTTACTTTATGAGGCTCTATTTTTATAACATTTGTATAATATAATAATGTTCAACATATTTTTTCCCATGCATTTAAAAGGAGATAACATTAAAAATGCAAGAAAGAATTTCTGAAATCCAGGACCTAAGGTGTTGCACATTCTTTGTATGCAAGCGTTTTGGGAAGTACCGTAGTAAGGCTTAACTCTCCTGTCACATACACATTTCAGGTTGTTGCCAAGCTTGCACCGCAAATACTACTCCAAGCGATTGCTCAGGTTGGACGTCTGCAAGTTCTGAGGGTAACATCCACAAAGAACGAATGCTCGTTAATAAAGATATGTATATGCTGTTTACGCTAGGGCTTTTTACTTGCGCTCGCACAACTCAGACAGAAAGCAATGCAGCTTGAGTCGTAACTTCCAGTTACATGCTTGCCTCGCTTCTAGGCTGTTTCGCACTAAGCCCAACCACAGCCAACGCTACGATCCTGTACAGCCAATCAAATAGCACTGAAAGTGCATCGTCGTAGCACTCCCAGTTTCAAATGCGAAAGCATTATATGCCCCATTACGCGAAAATCCGGCGTCGGTGGCCGCGTGACTGAGTTATGGTACCAAAAATGGCCAACAGCAGAGAGTCGAAATGCATAAAAATGCTCGGATATCAAATTTCTCGGGAGGTTCCTGTAAACAAAGTAAATTAAAGGAGTCATGAAACGCTTTTCCAACTTTTTCCTGTTTAGCTTTCCTCCTCAACTCATAAATCGCACATTGTACCAAACAGTTCAAGACGACGGAAAGGGGGAGTCCCCTCTTGCTGGGAATCTCGCTTGTGTAGCCGGACACAGCCATTGTCCCCCTAGAAGATTAACCCGTCGTTCGAAATTCAGACAAGTTGCATTCCCCACCCCGTTCACCCCCAAGCTGACAGTGCTGTGGAACCTACATGCTCCCTGGGCCCGGCCACACTTTTGCCACGTGATCACGCTCTCTCGCGCATACCGACCTGCAGAGAATGGGGTCAGGTAATGAAAGGGAGGGGCTGATTGGTCCGCCAAGCGCTTAGCTTCCGCCACAATGTCAGCTTAGGGGTGAAGGGATTAAGTGAGGTCCGGTGCCGCGTCACGTGCGTTTGGGCCTGATGACGCGCTGCGGGGTCCGCGGATGTATCTCAGTGAAAAGGCAGAGAGCTTACGAAGGAAAGGAGGTACGAAATAGTACGCCGTGTTTTCAAAATGTTCGTACCAAAAGTCAGGCTTCTGACTTTCTACTTTTGTTATTTTGGCCCACTGAACGATCACTATTAGTAAAATCCCAATATAAATTGATTTATTCCAGTCCAAAATTCGTTTCATGGGCCTTTTAATGGCTTTGAAAAGAGAATTTGGCACGTTTCGGTCTGGGTAGGAATCGAACCCGACGCCGACTAAAGGTGACGAACCTGATGCTGACTAAAGGTGTGCCTAGTGCGTGTGTCAACCGACCACAAGGCAATGGTCCTCTCAATCGACCCCATCCCACCACCGCAACCGTCACGACACGAAGATTACACGCCAGACATGTATCCCTCTGATGACGAAGACATTGTCTGATGACAACCATGACAGACCTACCATTATGGAGGATTGCATAGCTTGAAATGAAATTCATCGTTCTGCAGCAAAATGGTCCAAACATTTCCGGTCTGGGGCCAATGTAGATACACACACAGACACGCCAAAACAGCAGATTTTAATGTATGTCGAAAACGTCGATTCGAAATTATTTCACCAAAGGGACTATAATGCTTTTGCATTCCCACACGTAAGCAGTCTGAAGTGTCTCTGCTGAATTTTTGCGCTATCAGCAACTAGACAAATCGCGCACCGAAAAAAAAAAATGCAGGATCACGCTGCAGTCACTGTGCAGCTTGGTTGAGCTGGTGTTGGCAAACGCACTAGCGCCGCAACACTGCACTTTTGGCACTGCTCAATTAGATCCATCGGATCTTAGCATTTGCAGCAGTCACCGTAACACCCCGGTGACTTCGAAGCAGAGTGCAGGCCTGCAGACGATCGATTGGGAGGATTTGTAACCGGGCCTTAGTGCCCGCAATTGTACGAAAACTTGTTGCAGAGAGCAACAAATTTACGTAGAGCATAGAAAATACTCTCTGGTTGTAGTAGTACTAGTGTGCACTGAAGAGCGCAATATAGAAGTCTGAAACTTGTAAATTCTCGGGCTGCCTCTGATTAACCACTTTGCTGGGGCATGCCCTATTCCCTCGGTTGGTTTGGCACGTAGTAAATGCCAAATGTTGATATCATCGCTGCCACTGTGGAACAAATTCTCCAGTCATGCAATGTGCATGTCTCGCCCAGTACCGTCATCAACACCGGTACACTGTCTCTTTTGAGGTGCTACTACCACTGCAGTTTTATTTAAAGAGTTTTTACATTGAATCTCTTTTTTAAGACCCTCTTCAGCCATAAAGCTGAGGGGTAGTTAATGGAGTTATCACCGGACAGAGGTTCTGAAAGTGTTTATTCAAACTTCCAGACAAAAATATCCAATAGTATACACATCAAGACAGCAGGAAACAAGACAACAATGAAACAAGTGGGGGAAAAAATATGCACCGGAGAGCTCGAACTTCGTAGCACAAATGCAAAAACAGCAGCAAAGAATAAATGTGCAAACTTAAAACTCTTTGGTAGTGCAGCTTTGCAAAAACGAGTGCTACCCACGTTTGAGAGCCAAGACTTCTCTTGCTCGTAACCCCACGTGATAATTGAACCCTTTGATCAGAAATCAGATTTAGCATGTTACACAAACACACATTCAAAACAGAGATACACACGCACAACCAAAAACCTTGTGGTGACTGGGCAGCTAATGGCTAGAGCCTTGTGCTGAGACTGAGACTTCCTGAGCAACCTCGAGGTCTTCTGAGACGACGTCTAGTCCAATAGGTGAATCTTAGGCGTCCTAAGGCACCTTGAGCTGAAATAGCAACGGTAAAATCTGAAGGATGAAGGTATCAAACTGTTTCAGGGGCTCCCCAAGAAAGCCTCCTTGATCGTCTTTGTCTCCAAGTGTTCTTCCAGTCTATAGGCGCAATTTTAGAGGATCTGAGTCATCTATTAATGCATAGCTATGTGCCAAACACTTCCTTTTGTGTGGGTTATTGCTTACAAGGCCCACAGGCTGCACTACTTTATTTACTGCAATGCCAAGACTACTAGGGGTTCCCTGGCTATCAGTCGAGAAAGGGCGGTGTTTCTGGAGATGAAAAAGAACCCTTGGTAATGTGCACTAAAAAGGTCAAGAAAGGCAGAGGTCACCGGCCTTGGAGAGGCACTAAAGTGTCACAATTCAATCCACGAGCTCTAAGCATCCTAAAAACATGAAATTACATTCATGTGCGGCCGATTTGCGTACTAAAAAACTTCCCGATACTTACCGTTGGCGCAGAACGACAGATGGCGCTACCGAACCTTGCTGAATGGGGCTGAACGACAAATGGCACTTGTAAGCCACTCGCAAGCAATGGGTTCCCGCGTGGACGAAAGGGACGGCCAGCAGCTCGTCCGCGTGGGACGAGCTGCCGACCAGTCTTGCGCATGAATGTAATTTGGTTCTTCTTAGGATGGTTAGAGCTCGTAGATTGAGTTACAGCCCTAAAACGAGGATCTCCAGAAGCACTTTAGTGTCCCTTTAAGATAACATCACTGAACATCACAACACATTGGAAAACGTCAAATTAAAAGCTGCGTGGAGGAGCCACATCAAAGGTGTAGTCATTGTGTAGAGTTGTGCACACAAGAACAGTTCTACATAATGCATTGTTTGCACGAATACTTCTACAGGAAAGGAACTTTCTAAAGCCATGCACTAGCTCAGAGGCCTTTTGCAACACTGCACCAAACTCTCAAAATTGAACACACTAGATGTGTTTAGGTTAGAAACTGCCATCGATGTCACACAATGCTGATTAAAGAACGTACTCGGGGAGCCTTCCTAGCAGCCGCTATCTTCGCAGCTATGATGCCTTCACTCAGCGATGGGCAGCGCTGTCGTCGTTCTCGTCGTGAGCAGCCATATTTTCTGAAACGTAACGAAACATTTTGACACTGCTGTCAGCCAGTTTTAGGGTATGTGTCTCGGTGCAAAGTCCCGTGCCCTGAATTTTTTCATACATGAAAGACAAGGTGTTCAGTGATGTGATTGGTCAGAATCCTTTTGGAGTAATCAAAAGTACATTTTGGAGCGGCAATTATAACTTTCGGAGCATAAGCACGCATTTCATTTCCCTTCATACCAATGCGAATAATGCGCTCAAATTCACGTGCTGGCCCGTCCAACTGCAAGCAGTGTCTACTTTGCTTCCCCACTTCTGTGCAAACTTTTGTTAGCATCAATTGCATTGCAGGTTTGATTCCCTCGAGCACGCAACAAATTGCTTAGTTGTGCGAAGATGCAACCAACATGGCAAGAAGGTGCTGGTTGATGGAGGACTGTATGAACTGCAATGCAATAGAAAAGTTTACAGCACCCCAAATTGATGTTTAGTTTAGATTTTAAAGATTCTGATAAAACTGCAATTCTTAAATTAGATGGAAAACAATGCTTCTGTGTTTGATTATGAACATCACTAACATTTTTTACACAAAACTTAATAATAATAAAAAAATCAGCATGTGAATGTAAAGGGGAGGGACACCACCTCCAAAAAAAATTTCTGCAAAAAAAAGTTCATTTTGAAAAATGCTATATTTACATCGATCAATGTCTTGAGAGTATTCCCAGAATGTTTCATTTATTTACACTGCATATTTTTTTTTCTTATAAATTATTTTCGATCCACCCATGCTAAAGAAAAAATAGAGGTTTGAGCACTTCAAACACTTTTTTTTTTCTCTGTTCCACCTTTTTGTCATAGATTTCACTTCAGGAAAACTAATGTTTGGTAACTAAACAAAAGGAAAGGCTCACTCATCGTTTTTCCTAACATTAATAGGCAATGAACTGTGGCATTGTCTTTTTTTTACTTCGTGGATGTCTTTTATAAAAGATGTCAAGATTTTTTCGACAACATAAAAGGCAAAACATTTTTTTGATTTTTTCAGCGCTATGTTGGCATAGAGTAAATTACTTTTTTAGAAATATTGTTTTCACATTTGCACTCTCCAGGCAATCTTCTGTGTATCTAGTGAAGAAAAATGTTGGGCGTTACATTATTTTCCTAGCCATAGCTTTCCCGAACAATGTCCGTGTGTTCTTGATGAAAAAGACTAATTTCTTTCACAATTTATGTGCACAGATCAAACTTGGCACTGCACTCTGTCTCAACTGCCTGTGTATACTGTAAATTTCATTAATATTAAGCCAAAGGTTCCAAAGTTTACCTTTTTGAGAAGTGTCCTCCCTTAAAAACAATCCCTACAAACTTGTTAAGGTTGTTCCCAAAAATCCATCCACTGCTCCAGCTAATTTAGTCATAATCAACATTACTGGAACATCTCATTTGGGAACCTGCCATAAACCCTGCTCCGAAAAAGTGGCACCGATCCATAAACACCAGAACCAAACTAAAGGCCATCGCAACGCCGCCATTTCTCTCGCAGCAGCCACTCGAGGAACTGCACGACTGTACTGGTTAGGGCAGGGGTTCTCAAACTGTATTGTCCCAGGGAGCCCCAGCAAGCCTCAAAAAGTTCTAAGGAACCCCCTCCCCCCCCCCCCTTTCTGCATTGTTGCCAACCGATAATACTGGGCAATTAAGGTGTTTAGATAGTGAACAAGAGTCGATTGCACTGACAGAATAAGACAAAATGGAGGACAGTGGACTACAGACATAATAAGAATGCAGAGGGGTTAACCTTGAGCATAATGTAAAATATATATATGTATATATTAGTGCAAAGGGTACGGTTGCTTTTTCTGCAACACTAACTCAATCTCAGTCCGTGGAAGGTTAAACTAAGGGGGGGAGACTGCAATTTGGGTGCTCGCAGAACCCATGAGGCCAGCTTGCGGAATTCCTGTGTTCCGGGGAAACCAGATCGAGAACCCCTAGGTTAGGGACGCATTCGATAGTGTCTGCTGCGACGGTTCTAGTTGGCTTTAATCGGCTATTTTGGCGCCGAAACATATACGGTGGAAAGGGTTTCAGGGATGCCAACCCCTGCATCCCAAGCGAACGCGCCACGAATTACAACCGAAGTTAGGACGCGCCCAGGTCCGGACACGCTACCTGAAGTCACCGGTGAGACATGGCTGTATAAAAACAATATTAATTGTGCCACAAAACCCTGTACACTAAAGTTTTATGCAAACATCATGCTGCTGTCATTTTTTACTAATCTCCAATAAAAGTTCCAACAGAAAGAGCTTTTTCCACTTATTTTTACACAAAAACATGCTTTCTCAAAGCTCAAGGTGACCACAGTAAAGAAAAAAGATTGAGCCCCCATCTTGGCATCTCGAACCTGAGTGTTTCGGTACTCTGGAAACATTGAGTGATCCAGCAGTAGCCGTATAAAGCCACTTTCATGTTTCAACTCGTGACTAAAGGGTGGCACTGTTATCATACTTGGCTCGGTCTCGGTGGATGCCAGCGACCCAGGTTTCAAGGACGAGTTTCCCAACTGAGTGTTTTAGAAACGCTGGTCATAATGCACTGTATTCATTGTGCCATCAAACAGATATGAATCCATATAAAGGTAATAACTAAACAAGAATGTTGACATAAAGAGTAAACCTCTAAAACAGTCCATACATATATTTTAGCAATACTCGAGTATTGCTAAAATATATGTATGCTCAGGGGGGGGGGGGGGGGGGGGGGGGGGGGAATTGGGTGTTATTTTTCAGGCTCGTAATCGGGGAGAAATCAGGTTTTCCGGAAACCAATCCAGAATTCGGGTTTTATCGGGTATTTATTAAGGGGAAATATGTGAAATAATTTTCTACTCAAATAATCGTCAACAAAGTCTATAATATAGGAATGATTCTCGAGCGCACAGGATCTTTTCACCTTCTCACCCATTCTGAAGTGAATCTTTGCCAAGGTTATGCAAACTAAAGAAGCTCTTGACAATCAAACGAGTGACCGAGGAAACACTTTTGAAACGGATCTGAAACTGTTTCCATTTTCCATAACTACGGCCGATTTCCAAAAACGAATCGGGTTTAACCCAATTTTTATAAAACCGGATCGGGGGGAGGCGAACAAAAATCGGGCAATATTGGGTTTTACGTGAAAACAAAGGACTTCACTTATATGATGGCTCCATCTGAGGCCACAAGCCAAAAGAATAGCTCACCCATCACGTTTGGTTCGGTCAAAGTTGAAGGGCAAACGCTCGAGCATGACTAGAGGATACCTGCCGAAAGCAAACAAGACATCCCGGTTATGCGCGCAGGGGACAAGCCTTTCACATTTTCGGCCCACCAGCATCAACAGACGAATCTGTACCTATATGCTGCGAGACACAAGCTACTCGTTTACATTTGCCCGTAGAAACCCCACATTTTCTAAAGATAACCTAGTTTTTCTTGTTCTCAACTCAAAATACAAGCATCAACTCACTGGTTGAGTTGCTGCTTCTGCACCACCTTCTTGGAGGCAGGACACGGGCGTTGAGATAGCCGCTTCAACACAACCTGAGGATGGCTAGGAAGGATTGAACTCATTTAGTTGCACAGACCGTTCAAATAAGCGCAGTATGCGACAATCGCGAGATATCGCAAAGTTCCCATCAAAGAGCTTGAGCTTGTGTCAGAAAAACATACCGATGGCTATATGGAAGCTTATGGAGATTCCTCAAGGTACAAGGAGACCCTGGGGGCAGTCGCTCTAGCAGCACAAATGGAGAACTGCACACAGATGCACAAACCATAATTGAGAGATTACCAAAGCACTTTATACACCTTTCCAAAAAACGCTCCTAGGCTGCCGCCGTGTTGCTGATGCGGCTGGTGCAACTCTCGTGCCCTCTGTCAGCTAGAAATTTTCTGCCACTCTCTTGGACTGTGAAGACCCGCTTAGCGCGGTTCTCTACCTACGTTTTAGCGGTTTCGCATTCAACGCTTTCTTGCCCCTCTTGAAAGTTTCCACTTAGGTGTTTTTATGCGTGCTGCATACCCTTTTTGTGTTATCTTCCATTGAGAGAAATAAGGCTGGTAAGTGCCTGCCATTCAAGTTTTTCTGCATTACATTCACGGGAAACGAAGGAGGTAAGAACGTCAAACGACCCTCGACGCGATTTTGCGAACATTGTTTTCCCCCCTCTTACAGATAATCCGCGTAGGATCCTCAGTCCTCTCCAAAAATAGTTGTCAGGGTTGGGGTGGGAAACGGGTCAGTCGCGTTCGTCCCGTTGCCTTGGTGCGGTTGTGAAAAAAAGGAAGCTCTCCCCAAAACACGCCCCAAAACGAAGTCATCTCGGATTCTGTCCGATCGTCAAGATGTGACTGTCGTCGACTGTGACAGTGTTATTTGAGATCTTTCTCAAATAAATTATTTTCGGATAACGCTGCATCGTGTGGCACATACAATATAGTGTTTGAATGTTAACACTTCCTCAATCGTATGTCCATGTCCTGTCCATCGGTAAACACGTTATTTGTAAGCGTGAAAAATGCATGCCTTTCGGCCCTCTTCTGTTGCAATTTATTTTTGACAGCAAAGCGCTTTGTCGTTTCACTTTGGCGCGTCCCGTGGCGCCGTCAAAAACTTATCGTAAGAAAAAGACACAAATAACTAGAACTATACATTCCAGTCGCATTCGTTCTGTCGCGCGCGCATACCCAACAAAAATAGTTTAGTTTTTTTTTGCTTCAAATGTTGTACAATGCTTTCTCAATGTCCTTGGGAAAATGCATGTACCGTGAGACAAAATATAGCGGGGAAAAAACAAGAATGTAGCCGCCAACAGCGTTTCAGCTTCAATAGCCTACGCAGGCTGCGCCTATTGAAATCACAGTCCCCTCGGTTAGGGTTAGGAGGGGCGCCGGTGAGAGTCTAGCCTCAAACTCGGTGACTGCCACTGGGCTCGAAGACGGTTTGTTGCCCGTGGGGTCGAGTGTTTTTTGGAAAGGTGTATACTCAATGAAAACATTTCCAAAGGGGAGCAACATGCAACTTATATGGGAGCAACATGCAACTTATATGGCATCCAAAGGGAACTTCAGGGAGCCATCGAGTTTTTCACTGCCAATATTAAGAATCTGAATGTTTAGGATATAAAGTCCCATGACAGAAAGGTAGTTTGCTACCCGTTTCAAAATTACACAATAAGGCACAGCTAAAAATTGGTAATTTGTAGCAAATTGCTTCGTGGCACAGGGGCAAGCTCCTATGAAACTAAACAGGTGCATTATTCTTAGTGTAGACAAGATTAGAAGTGGGTAAATGCAAAAAAGGATTTGCTGGTTTTGGAGGTGACAACCACCTGGTTTTGATCAAACATATCCAAGAAGCAAAATGCAAGATAAAATCATAATTTTAGACTGAAATTTCAGAACAATCTTTAGAAGCTGAAACTTGTAGCAACACAAGCGGTTGCAAGTGGACATTTTCAGGTCAGACCAGTTTACTCCGAAGCAGACTAGCTGGTTAGTGGCAAAAGGACACTGCTAAAATCCATTCACCTCTGAAATTTATGGGGCTGCAAAGTCGACTAGCGCGGACAAGACCATGCACCCAGGTTTACGACGTTCTTACGAGACTCGTAACACAAGGTCTGCACGCCCGCGTAGCCTTCGTGACAAGGGTTAGTGAAATGATCTTAGAATGAAATGACCCTTGGCATCGGAGCACTCTGTCCTCTCGAGAAGCGCACCTCCACTGGGCACCGGGCATTCCAGGATCGAGCCGCTCCAACAGCACAACAGCCGTCTTGAGTTTACTGCGAGGAAATAGATTTAAGGCTTGTCCACACACTTGCAACGGCTTAAGGCCGGTTCACACACTTGTGCTCGCTTACGACCGAGCTCTTGATATCTCTTACGAGGAGAACACACACTGGCACGCTGACGCCACCTATGAGGTGGTCCTGGAACTGCATTTCACTAGAGCGAAAGTTTTGCAGTTGCAAGTATTCCACGGCTACCTGGTAGATGGTGCCAGTGTGTTCTGTCATCAAAGATCACAACGGGTTGTAAGGCACTCGATTGTCAGTAGTCGTGAGCGTGTGAACCAGCCTTTATATATAAATGCAAACACGCAAAGCAAGCAAGTTCGTCAGCAGTGGCATTCAGTCGAAAGCCACTGTTTTGTTTATAATAAACTTTCTTGTTGTTTGTTGAAGTGAGTGCGACGCACATCTCTTTCCCTTACCAAGTTGCAAAAGCAAGCATCAATCGGAAGGCTTAACTGGACCAATACTAGTATTGGTCCAATCCAGGTCAGGTCAGGTCAGGTTAGCTTAGCATAGCTTAGGTAAGGTTAGGTTTGCTCAAATTAAACAAAGGAGGTCGCTGGCAACAGCATCATGGGTATATAGGTAGTGAGAGAAATAAATGAGTTATCCGAGTTTCAGACATTTCCCCCTCCTGTGTCTTTTTCTTCAATCTTAAGTTTCCTTTGTTCTTACTAGTCTCAGGTTTTACAAAATATAAATTGCTACATATGTACAGGTGCCGATTTTTCTCAATCATTTTACATTCAGGAGAAGTGAGCCTGGCAAGTATAGCCAACGTTCAAGTAAACAACGCTTGTGGGTGAACGACTCAAAGGCAGCAGTCATTGAGCCTTTTAAACCAAATTTGTCTATAAAATGTATAAAAATAAATTTTTTTATTGTTAAAGTAAACAATGCATTGCCGAACACCGGGTCTCCGGTCATAGCGTTAGCGGTCTATACCAGATCAAAAAGCTTCGGAACTTATCAGGTTCCCTGGAAAATTTTAATGGTAAAAGAGTGGCCGACAAAGTTCACAATTACATAGAGATGGATGGCCTCAGCTACTGGGAACAAGCCCTATTTTTCCATTGTAACTATAAGAAAACCACATTTTTAAATGAGGTATGGCAAGCTCTCAAAACGCTGGCCTCTGGTCTGGACGGCTAGCACTACATTTGGGTGGAGACCGAGCATTTGACAATGCATAGTTACTTCTTTTGTTATTCAAAACTATTTCCTCTTTTAATGAGCTGCTCCAAGCATGTTGATGTGACAGCAATATATTATTTTATTTTCAAATTCGGTATTCCCAGAAAAGCTTGCACAAGTATCTTTCTAGATACTTGCAGGCAGAAAACGGCCAACAAGGTTGGTAAATAATTGTTAGCCAACGAGTGATTCGGCCTTCGTCGGCAAAAAGCCAGCCTCAATGACCAATGTTGACCGTTGACCAACATTTTGCCAGATGTGTGTGTACATTTACAATAAACGGAAACACCACCTCGACATTTTATGAAACCTGTGATCATTGAGTGCAGTGACGAAGGTACATCCCTCTAAGGGTGTGTTCTCGTCCTTGAGACTTTTTTTTCCCTTCAAGCACAAAGCCGTCCTGAAGCAATGAACTGCCTCTATGTCGCATGAAACAAAACAAAAAAGACATGCCTCCCTTCTTTCTTCATGTTTCATATTTGGCAGAACCATGGACCTGCCAGCTTTTCAACCTATGGTCTTAGAAAGGGAGCTATCCTCCATTAATATAATGAAAATATACCGTAAAATCCCGAGAGATAAACAACCCCCATTTTTGGCTTGATTTGCTATATTTTCTTAAATACTGAAAGCTAGCCGACTCTTATAGTCAGTTACAGGTCAAGAAGGTAGCGGCAAATGCCCCTCAAAGGGAATCAGATATCCCTCCGCCACCTCCGCGTCCAATAGCGTCCCACCGTTTCCGTGACGTCGCGGCCAACGCGCGAGGAGGGTCTTGCCTTTCTGTACATATTTGCTTTATCTTTCGACTTTGACTTAGCATTGTGGAAGCCACGAGAGGGAGATTAGAGTTCTCCCCCATCGACGGAAACAAATGCGACTTTCGGGGATTAGCTTCCCCCCCGATGGATACAAAGGCTGCTTTCAGGGGCTCGGTTCCCTCTACGATGAATACAAAGGTCGCTTTCTTAAAAAGTGGGATCGGAGACAAGTTGGAATCTAGTGAAGCGGAACAAGGAGCGTTTCCAGTGAACTCTTCTTTCGACTGCGGAGAGATTTGAAACGGGCGCATCACACTTGTGGGAGGAGCTTCTCCTACCTTCTTGACTTGTAACCGACTATAGTAATAGTAGTGTTGGGATCTACTTTGCTTGCTTCTTTACATTTTCGCATTCCTGTTAACACAAGTTCTAGAAATCGTGGAGTGTTTTATCCAGATCACCCTAACTTGTCACCTGTATCACGAATTCAACATGTCCTTAAACCGAAGTATTGCGGCATTGATATTTTTTGTACAACTTTGCCCCATATGTTTTACACATGTGCATGATTTTAAAATCGGTTTGATTAAGGATGTATCTTTTGTAACGGAAATGTAAGTCTTACATTGTGCTTTACCGCAAAGGCCAACCGGCTGTTGGTAAGCGCGCAAATAAATATTGTATTGTATTGTAATGATGGCCTCGGCGTAAATGTTGCTAATTCGCTATAGTGGGACATAAGCGAACGTTGCTGACTGGGAAACACAGTCATCTTTGCTAAGTTGCCCCCCACCAGCATACCAAGCTTGGAAGGAGCACGACCTAAAAATAGCAATTCTTTAAAACTTTTCTCGATTGTACACTGAAAGTCAGCCCACCTCATATTTTCAGCCGATTTGCTCCTGATGTTAGGTGGGGCCTCTCTCGGGATTTTACGGTAAGTAACAATCAAAATAACAAAATTAATAAAAAAGTGCAGCAAATAGTTTTCGTTTTTCTGGTTGCGCCTTTTATGCGTGAATAAAGGAGTCAAAGTATGTGGTGGAGTCAAGACGGTTATCTTACCTTAGAGCTGTAAGTGCATACCCACTCAAGTTTTGTTATGTTCTAGAATTCAGTAACCAAACGTTTGGTGAAAAAGGGACCAGGGTATTAATTCTATTTCTGGTGATTCGACAGCAGCGTGAAAACAACTCAAAAACGAGAGTACATCATCTAAAAAGCACTGTAATGCTCCAAATTCGGTGAAGTAAAGTTCGATGAAACGGCGTCAAGCGATTCGATGAAACAGCGTTCCATGAATCAACGTTCGAAAAAATGTCCGATTATTCAATGAACCAGCAGCTGGTGAAGCTGCGTTCGATGAAATGTCCGCTACTCACTGAAGTTTTTAAAATTTCCCAAACCGGATTTTGAGAACTGACGGCGACAAAAGGCACGAAGGCGTTTGTGTATCTTGCCCCTTTGCATACGTGCGAGATGGCATACAAAAGAGGCGCAGCATGTTGTACCAGAATATTTTCCCAGCTTGTCTGTGGAGCTGGTGACGTGTCTTAATCACATTATATGGATGACTAACGGATTACGTGGCGTTACGACAGAAGGCACGAATTAGCAATGAGCACTAGCCTACGTAGGCACATTTCCCATCTAAGACGCTGTATCCAGCGCCATCAAAAGAATAGACTCCCGACAGCAGTTCTGCACAATAATTCGACGAGCACCGAGCGAGAAAGGAAGCCACTGAAGCGTTAAACGGATCAAAGCAGACAAAGAAAGAGAAGGAATTCTGGCAGACACTCATGCTGATTCAAAAACAATCCTAACCATTTCGCTGGGTGATAAAACGCACGCCGACGAGGTAAAAAAAAAAAAAAAGCTTAGCTTATGAACGCGCTCTCGTATTCCCGAGTTGAAAATCTGACGATTCGTTCAGAATTGCACTGGGGACGTAAAATTATCTTATTTTAGCAACTATTCAGGTTGTTTCTGTGTCGTGATCCTGGATCGCTTCTCCAATGGAACGATAGCCGGCCACCCGTCGGTATCGAGCAAGTGAAACTGCGCTGGAAGAGAATAAAAGAGAACACGAACCTCATGATGTCCGTCATAGTTCTTGAAACCTTAACGTTTTTGTACCTTGACGCAGCAATGTCCGGTTAAGCAGCAGGCAGAGGGTAAAATAAAACAACTGCAACTGCCAGCAACTGCTCCGAAACAAACGTCTCGTAGCTGATAGTTGTAGGGCTGTAGCTAGGTGTGTGGCTAGAGCAATGTGTAATGTTCCGCAGTAATGCGGAATTACACATTGCTCTTTAGCGGCCTTACGTGTTGGACGGTAGCTTGCGCCACGTACCGCACAAGCTTGTCCTTTGTTTATTGACGCCGTTTATTTCACAGGAGAGAATGCACTTACCTGGAAAAATGCCAGAAAGACCTGTGGAAACTGGGAAAACAACAACCAAAAACAAATGTTCAACGGCAAATCACGCTACATGAAAATGGCATGATTACATCTAAGGTTAACAGCTCAACCGCACCACAACTACCTACAACCACAGTATTCATTATATAAGCATCCGGCTTGGCATTCCTTGCCTTCGCGTGTTTCCACTCTCGTGATACGATACAATCTTTTCGAAGAAACAAAGCATTCACAACGTAAATAGCGCAAACAAGCCTTCATCGTTGCGAGGATCCATGTTTCAACGTGCGCCGAGAGCAGACGACGTGCGGCGGTATTTACGCTAGCAGTGTTTCAAACATCGGCCGCACGGTGGCGACTCTGTTCGACCTCGCGTCCGGCGTTGAACCACGCGAGTGCGCGAGTCGCGGTGAGTGAGGGGGTGTACTGCCCGTGCAAGCGGCGTGTATGAACAGTTCCGTAACTGAGCTAATCTAATAACGTTGCCACGGAGTAACTACTCACTCTACCCTCATCGATCGAGGGGTAACGTCGGATCAAATCGAGTAAATACGTCACGTGATCTGTACGCCGTCTGCTCGTCGTCTGCTTTCTGCGCCGACAGCCGTCAAAGCTGGTTTGCTCCGTTGACTTTGGTGGCAGACGTTCGAAATGACAAATAATGAGGAGCCGTCATTTATGTGTGGTTATTGCGATTTGCTGTTTTGAACGCGCAGGACTTGTCTGTGCACCACATCCAGTCCGTGCGCCTGTTTTCTGTCCGTTCTAAAATAAATTTTCTATTCAACCTAAGATAAGAATAAACGGAGACGCGCAGGCGACAACATCAACCTGCAAGGAATAGACCTTTTCCCAGAAGCGTTCTGCGCACGCGCAAGCGCCCGATGCCAAGCGGCGGAACTCAGAACGAAAAATCGAAGAAATTCGGAAGGAGGCTGTATATCAGCGAGCGGAAGACGTAACTGCAGTATATATATAATTGTGTTACACAAAAAAAGAACGTCGACGTAGCTCCCATTATCGATTGGTAGCGCAGGTAGGTCACTTCCTCGATTTTTAGTTCGTGCAGCCACCGCCTGGTGCCGTCGGTATGTGGAAAAGGTTCATTCCATTCTTGAATAGTTCGCGGAAAAAATGACTGGTGAAATGCATTATTCACAGCAGAAAACTCCTAATTGACAAATGATGTGATCTTTTTGTTCTTGATCCTCCGTGGTTGGAAGAAAGAAATGTATTTGTTCTTGTTACTTTTTAGGTTGTCGTTGACAATTAGGTATAAGTTGTCGATCCTTCCTTCCGATGTCTAATGTCGAAACACTCAATGTTGACATTCCGGGGGAGCTGACCGGGAGATATAGACCAACTGTAAGAGTTATGAATAAACCGAACCGCCTTTCTTTGTATTTTCTCCAATTTATTTTTATTTTTTTGAGTGTGTGTATCCCAAACAATTTCTGCATGTTCAAGAATGGGTCTTATAAGCAACTTATAAGCAAGCAACTTTGTTGATGGACTGAAGCGCCCCAGGAACCGTCTTCGAAAGTCGAGCTTCTGAAACGCGCGTTGTGATATATAATTAATGTGGTTGTTCCATCGCAGATCAGATAAGATGATGACTCCCAGGTATCTGAAAAATTCAACTTTCTGCAGTGGCACACCGTCTATGAAATAGGAAAAGAGAATGAGAAGATGATCCTCCTGACTAGAGATTTCGCTGTAAATTACACAATCATCGGCAAAAGGATTTACTTGAACTGGTATGTCAACTAAAACATCGTTAGTGAATATTAAAATTGGTCGGTGCATAGGTGTACTATGATGCATAAATTCAAGAGTCATTTGCCATTTTTTGAACCATGAATTTATTGTTGCCGGGGAGATGTCAATGAGAAGATGATCCTTATGACTAGAAATTTCGCTGTAAATTAGGCATTCATCGGCAAAAGGATTCATTTGAACTGGTATGTCACCTAAAATATCGTTAATGAATATTAAAATTTGTCGGTGCATAGGTGTACTATGCTGCATAAATTTCCGCAAAACTACGTGTGGGTGGCACGAGAAATAAAAAGGAAGGGGGGGGGGGGGGGCGGTGTAACACTTCGTCGAGTCACGCTTGAGAGTCGCGATCGTACTGCGTGTGGTCGTGTATCACTACTGCATGATGCACGTTAAAGACCCCATGGCTAGCGGTTTTACTGCACTGGCTAAATTGCTTATCTACAGCTGGGAGTCTCGTTGCCCGTTGAGGCGTGGCCGAGTGGTTACCGCACTTGGCTGTCGCGCGGAAGGCGAGGAAGTGCAATGCACATCAGATCCTGGCTCTAAAACCTCATTGAAAGAAACTAAAAACAAGGAGAAGAAAAAAAAAAAAAAAGAGAGAGAGAGCAAAATCTTCATCTCCCCCAACTCCTACCACCGAACAAAACCCCACCCACCCAACCACAAATATCTAAACCAAAAAAAAAGAAAAAAAGTGAAGGATTTTTTTTCCCCCCACGAAGTGTGATATAAATCCAAATTGGAAACTTGCGTATTTATTTTTTCGTTTCTTTACGCATTTGTAGAAGATAGTCTATAACCGACCTGTTCCTGGGTCGCAATGATTATGCATCCTTTCTGGTATGGTGTTATGTTATCAGATTTACATATATGTACATACCCCATTTCCTATTTATTTTGTTTTTTTAAACTGTAAATAAGCACTGTTCGAAAAGAGAAAAAAAAGCGGATCGGTGGCCGAGAAGTCAAGCGCAAACCAAGTTCGAAGCACGTTGAGCGAAATCTCGTGCTAGGGAACCTAGGATCCATGAGTTAATTCCCCACCCCTGCCCTTTTCGATATGGATAAGCATCATACCTGCGTGCGGTCGTGTATTACTACTGCGTGGTGCACGTTAAAGACTCTGCAGGCTAGCGGTTGTACTGCACTGGCTAAATTGCTATTCTACAGCTGAGAGACAAGTCGCTCCATGAAGGCACTTCGAGGCTGTGTAAACCTACCTACAACCAATCTTTTTTTTTTTTTTTTTTTTTTTTTTTTTTAGAGTCAGTCGAAACAGGGTCGGAAATTACCCCAATAGCAACAACCTGGCGGCGAGAGGTCAGGTAGTCACCAATGCATTTTATTAGCATATCATTTCTAAGGATTGATTTCAGTTTTGTTAATAACTTCGGGGTGAAACCTTATCGAAAGCCTTCGAGAAGTCCCAAGAAAACCACATATACAAACCCGCGCACATTTAAACCTCCAATAAGTAATGAGTTGTTTCTATCAATTGAGTGAAGGCCGAGAGGGCCCTGGCAAAAACCGTGTTTCCGATGACTAACCAAGTTATTTGATTACAAATATGAAGAAATATGCGAGAATATAACATGCTGCAGTATTTTCCCTGTGGCACACAGCAACTAAATTGGTCGGCAATTTGCTACAAGCTGGCTATCTTCATCCTTAAAAACAGGAATGATTGTGGCGTACTTCAACTTTGTTGGTATTTTGCCACTTGCCAGATTTACAAAAAATTACAGTGAAATACTCGGCACACCAGTCATCGTAATGACACAGAAAAGCATTTGGGATGTTATCTATTCCGGTAAGCTTTTTAGTGTCAAGATCAAGAAGCAAAGAAAAGATTCCCTCTTCAAAGATTGTTAGGCCGCCCAATGGCGAAATGTTCTCCGGCACGTTAAAGCATGGGCACGTGTTATCGTCAGTTATGAAAGTCGATTTAAAAAAAAAAAAAAAAAGACACTGAAAAACTCCGCCATCTTTGCAGTGTAACTTATTCGTTTCCCGGTCACTTTAAAGCCAGAGACAGTTTGTTTACGGTGCGAAAGATGTCTCCAGAATTTAGGTGGTGATGACCGCATGAATTTCGGCAGGATTTATGTATCAAATCCATGTTTAGTTACTTTTAAGTTTTTCTTTAATTGCCTTCTAAGGCTATCAAGGAGACTTACTTTGCCGTTGTTTGTTTAACGCCTATATATTTTCCTTACTCTGGGTATTTTACGCACCAAATGTATGATGTCTCAAGCCATTCATGGATTCTTTTTGTGTTTCGTTTTCTTAAAATTTCGGTACCGATGGTTGATGAAAAAATTTAACCAATGACTCAAAAAAAAAAAGATATAGAGCTCGTCCGTATTGCCTTGTACATAATTAGCAAGGTTTGAGAACCCGTCCAAAGCATTGTCAAGTTCGTCAAGGACACCAACGTCGCTAGCATATGCGGAATCAAGAATCAAAGCTTTTCTACATTGGGGTTTTGTTTTTGCACAAACAGAAAAAGACAAGAAGACTGATCTGTGGTTAGAAAAGGCGCCAAGAACAGTTGCAATGTCATGTCATGTCAGCAAGAAAACAAACGAAATTGTTTTCTTTCTGGCTGACAAGTTGTTGCTGTTTTCCACTTCAAATGCTACATTTACAATGTCGGTTAGATTTTGTGATTTTGTTTCTTTCTTGTGTTTGAATAAATCCTTACAGAGAAAGATGACTAACTCAAGAATTAGCAAAGAAGAAAGAAATGCTAAAAATAAATTGGTGGAGACAACTTCATCGATCTGACATTTAGCATTTAATTTGGGGGGGGGGGGGGGGATTCATATAATTTAAGGAAAAATGTGTGTAGTACTTATTGGTGGTGGATTTCCTTGCAGGTTCTTTAATGCAGAAGCGTCAGAGCAGAATAAGTAAGTGTTGGGCTAAAAAGTACTCGAATGAAAGTACAAAGTAAGAAAGAGGTTATGTACTTCAAGTAAAGTAGCAAGTACACCGGGCGCAATGTAGTTGAGGTGAAGTA